CGTCAATGGGTTTTCTCGACAGAGAAGAGGGAAACTGTAGAAAACCTATCCTGGGTACAACCGGTTTATCGACAGTCGAGTTCTAATGGTGTGTACCCGACAATAATCGACGGTGCACATCCAAAATTTTTTAAAACTTTATCAAAAGTTTAGTTATTTTCAAAGATTTTAATAAATTTTATTGTAGGAATAAAATTATTTCATATTAAAAGTTATAAACGTTTCAAAAATTATAACAATTTTTTTTAATGTTATCTTTTAAAATTAAAAAAAGTTAGATTTGGCAAAATAAAAAAAAATTCTAAATTTTTATTTAAAAAATATCAAAAAACTTATTGTTTGAATGAGAATTATTATTTAAACAGTGATATGAAATTTATAAAAAGTAATTTTATAATTCCACTTAGAACAGGATATTAAAATGAAAAAAGGTCCAGTTTTTCTTATAAAATAAATGACATTAACCTAATTAATAAATTCTTAATTAATTACTTAACAAAAATTAGTTTTTCTACAGTAATTTATAGGTAACAATTTTTATATTTTAGAATGTTAAATTAAATTTATAAATTAAGTTATAATTCTTATTTCAAAGAAAATTTGATTAATTAATTTTCGTGGTTATTAAATCTTCAAAACATTAAATTTAAATTTAATTAATTCAAAAAGTCAAAATATTTAATTTCAGGAAAATGGAGAAAAATATCAGAAAACAAGAAAGCAAATAAAAACAACTAAATTCAAACTGCGAACAGACATCCGGAATGTAACGATTATTGATACAGAAAATTTGAACGATTCTGGTAAGAGAAATATGTAGGAATTTCTTTTTTATTTCCCACACTGAAGTGTATTTTTAGTTTAAAAAAAAAATGTTACTCTCTATTGTAATAAAACTGCACAGACCACGAAATAATCATAACAGATAAAACGTGACGAATTAATAGCAGCAGACAAAAGAAAGTATTTTTTCTTTCAGAAAATAATTCTCATTTTGCTGATGGTCTACATATTTCTCTAACTCTGACCCATTTATTTCAATTATGATATCACTTTTAAGTATGTTCACATCAAGTTATATAAAAATTATTTAAAACTATGATCGTTAATTCATAAAAGAAAATGCGAACAACTTTTTCTGGGAAAAAATTGATGACTTGAATTTTATCAAGGTGATGTCAGCAATGAAGTTCTTCCACTTATTGTCCTCGCTTTTACTCTTAAAAAGAAAAGAAAACATTACCGACATTTATCTCATTTTTATTTGTGAGAAAAAAAATGGAAAATTTCACATAAAATTGAAAATTCTTATCTCTAACCAGAATTAAATATCAACTTTAATTATATTTTATTTCTTACTAAAATCATATCAATTCTGAATATATTGAAGAAAAGGAAAATAATTGCACGTGTATCGAAAACAAAAAAAAGCATTACATAATCAAAGGGTTCGAATGTGAATTTCTTGAATTTTTTTTCCGCATTTCGAAAGATCGAAGGTAGAGAAATCTGGCCCACCGTAAATTTGAACGTCCCTTGTTTTGTATTTCTAGGAAAAAAATATCGGTATCTCTTCTAAATCACATTTTGATTACTGTCGAAACTTTAATATTGTGCAATTAACACATAATCGTTTATCAATGAATGGAGAAAAAAACTTTTATTTTGTATAGTTTAAAATATCGTCCGTGGCAAATTTTACCACTATTAAAATCTAATTTACATATTTTATTCCTTTTATATTAGAGAAAAACGACTATTTATATGTTTTTTGCTACTGTTAGAGGGCAATAAACACAACAGGGATCAGAAACTGCTACCATTTCATCTTTTTTTAACCTTTTTTTTAATTTTGTTATTTTGACACGTTCTTTATCAAAAAATTCAGTGGAATTTAAGTTTATCTTATTTTTATAAAAGCTCACTTTCAGTTGCTCTACATTTCAATTTATTCGAATTTTGAACAATATGAATTTCGAGAAACACTCTTATACTAAATAAATAAATAAATTTCAAATTCTAATCGTACCCTAAAAAAATTTATTTGGTTCAAATAAACCAATTACTTGTTTGTTATCAAATAAATATTTGCTTGAATCAAACAAATATTTACTCAAATCAAACAATTTTTATTCAGATCAAATATAAATAATTTACATTTTCACCTATTTATTAATTTACATACTAATTTATTTTAATTAATTATTTTATTTTTTTATTCATATTAATAATCGTTGTATTCTGTTAGTAGATTGAAGTCAGATTTTTCTACTTGCTTTTATTTCCCACCTTTTTAATAATTTCTCTTTTTTTTCTTTTTTTTCTTTCTTTTGAATTTCAAAATTAAGTATTAAAAATTTATGCAATTCTAATATAATATTTCGGTGATTAATAACAAAAATAAACTAAACGAAATTTTTTTGAATTAACAATCATAATTTAATTCGACATTCTAAAACATAAAGAAAAATTAAATTTTTGAAAATTATTGAATTCAATTGAGAAATGTTTATTAAAATTGTATTCAAAATAATTGAATTCTTTTGAAAAATTTAATTTAAATTGTGTATTAAACATAATTGAATTCTTATAGAGAATATAATATTAAAATTTTTTAAATAAATGATTTCTTTTCAAGAATTTAATTGAATTCTTTCTAGAAATTATATTAAAATTGTAATGATAATAAATAACATTTCTGCGAAGAATTTGATTAAAGTTTTAAAAAATAATTTAAACTCTTTCGAGAAATTTGATAATTGAGAAATAATTGAATTGTTTCATGAAAATATTATTAAAAATTGAGTTGTAAGCAATTGAATTTCTGCAAAGAATTTTATTGTCTATGAAAAGAATTGGATTATTTCGAAAAATGTTATTGAAATTAAAATTATTGAATTTCTACAAAAGAAAGTTTTTTAAAATAATTGAATTTTTTTAGAAATTCTATTAAAATTATTGTAATGGAAATAATTGAATTCTTTTAACAAAATTTTATCAAAAATTTAGTTCCAAGCAAATGAATTTCTGCAAAGAATTTTATTGTTTATAAAAAGTATCGAATTATTTCGAAAAATTTTATTGAAATTGGAATTAAAATGATTGAATTTCTACAAAAGAAAGTTTTTTAAAGTAATTGAATTTTTTTTAGAAATTCAATTAAAATTATTATAATGGAAATAGTTCAATTCTTTTAACAAAATTTTATTAAAAATTGAGTTGCAAGCAAATGAATTTCTGCAAAGAATTTTATTGTTTACGAAAAGTATCGAATTTTTTCAAAAAATTTTATTAAAATTGAAATTAAAACTTTTAATTCAATTAAAATTATTGTAATGGAAATAATTAAATTTCTGCAAAGAATTTTACTTAAATTTTTTTAAATTTTTGACAAGAATTTAATTAAAATTTTATGTAATAATTGAAATTCTACAAAGAATTTTATTCAAATTTTCATTTATTTCGAAAGATATTATTAAACGTGAAATTAAAAAACCTGAATTCCTGGGAAGAATGTTATTAAATTTTGTAAATATAGTTAAATTATTTAGAAAATTTTTATTAAAATCGAAATATAGATAATTGGATTCTTTCATTGAATTTTATTATCATTTTTGAAAAAAATTGAATTTTTACTAAATAAAATTTTTGAAAATAATGAATATTTTATAACGAAAGGGAAATAATTGAATTCCTGTAAAGAATTTAATTATTTATGAAAATATTGGAAAAGTTTTAAAAGTGTTATTAAAATTTTATTGGAAATATTTGAATTTTTTCGAGAAATGTTATTAAAATAAAGTTGAAAATAATCGAATTCCTTTGAAAAATTTTATTGCTTATGAAAAATTGAAAGAATTCCATTCATGCGGAGAATTCTGTTTATAAAAATAATTGAATTCTTGCAAGAAATTTTATTAAAAATGAAGTTGAAAATAATTTAATTCCTGTGATGAATTTTATTGTTTATGAAAATAATTGAATTAATTCGAAAAATTTATTGAAATTGAAATTATTGAAAAGTATTTTAAAATAATTGAATTGTTTTTACCAATTCTATTAAAATTGTAATGAAAATAATTGAATTCTTCAGAGAAATTTTATTCAAATTGAAAGAAAGCAATGGACAATTAGTTATAAGGGAAGTGTTTTTCATTTCGAATCTGAATTTATTTAAAAATTGTAGTTGATAATTATTTCAAATGAAAAAAATTTGCGTAAAATTTGCTAGTTCAAAAAAAAAGATACTGTGATCTCTATAAACACTAAAAAAGAATCTAATTCTATAAATTAATTCCCCAAAAATATTTATTCCAATTTTTGTCCCCTTGTGAGAGAAATTAATTTTGTAATTTTTGTAAAATAGTAATTGGTATTTTTGATAAATTACTCTCTTCTTTTTTATATATTTATCGTAAAGAGTAGAGTACATACTGTCATTAAATTTTATGACACAGAGAAGAATTTCTACGAAATGACAATGATGCAGTTGGGGACAGATAATTCTACGTTGCTGATTTTTATCTCACTAGAGTAAAGAAGCTTTTCTAAGGTCGGCAGAACACCATGTTTCTCAGAAATTTATGATTAATATCCATTTTTTCTTTAAATTCAAATTTTCCATCCATTATTTTATTCTATTTTCTCGCAGGAATGTAAAATTTTTATCACGAACGGTAAAAGAAAAACAAAATTTCAAATTTCCTCCAAGTTAATAAATGAAAAAAAGGACCAATTAAAAAATTAAATAAGTAAAAAGTATATTTTACCTTTAATAAACTAAATTACTTTTTCTGAATATTAAATAATTAGATATTTGGAAAATTAAAACTATGCGAATAATTAGATAATGACATTAATAACTAATGACTTTACATGAATAAATTTATAAATTATATATCTGGAAAATTATTTCCAGCTACTGATGAATGTTTACATTTACAGAAAAAAAAGAATTGACACGATTTTAATGAGTGTACGATTTTTTTTTTTTTTTGCAGATCTTTGACACGAGCCAATAATTAGCAGCACGCGCCTCATCATCAATTTTTCCTGGATCATTAATATCAATCATCATATTTTTATTCTTCAACATCCAATCATGCATTCACTCTATAGTGGCGCCGTTTCTGATAAACATAACGAACGTGTGTCAGGGCTCATCCTAGTCTCAGTTTGCTTGAAACTCCCGAGAGTGTTGGTTCAACGTGTACAATATCAAAAGTGAAATTATTATTTTTCTACAAATATTTTATTTTTGAGAAGAACATCGACGCAGGAGATGAGGAACATTCGTATTCATAATTTTTTACCACATCGCTGAATGATCCTAAATAAATCGCAAGATTTTTGGATTCACGCGCGCGAAAAAGAAATAAGGAGGAAAAAAGGTTTGTTTGAGAAATAAACAAAATGTTGTACATAAGAAGAACGAAACTCAAAGAGAGATAAAAGAGAGAGAGAGAGAGAGAGAGAGATGAAAGAAAGCGAGAAAGAAGAAAATAAAAAGCGAATGTCAAAAAAAATGAGTGAGAAAGAGAGAAGAGCGATGACTGAAAGGAGTAAAGAGGAAGCTGTGGCCTCTTCGCAAACTCGAGGAAAGAGTTACCTAACAGGTTTTTAAAGGGGTCGCTCTTTATATTTGTCTTTGTCAATTTGTTTTCATTTTTAACGTTTGACGAAAATTAATTGAGAAGAGTTTCCACTTCGTTCTTTCTTATTTTCTTTTCATTTATCCTTTGTTTTCGACTGTTTTTTTTCGAAATCTTACCCTTTTGTTTATCTCTTCTTTAATCTTCTTTTTTAATTCTAGTGAAAAAGGAATTGTTTTTTTTAATTTTACTGAAAAACAAGGCCTCGAAAATTATGACATTTTCAACCTTTTTCCACAGTTTTAAAAAAATTCCACTTTTTTCGACTTATTTTCAAAAATTGCGACTCAAATATTGCAACAAACTACCACATTTTTAGCATAAAATGCAACTTATTTCAATTTTTACAGTATGAAAAATAACTACAAACAAATCTTTCAAAAATTATTTTCCAATAATGTTTCTAATTGAATTTTCGAAGTATACAAAATACAATTAAAAAGATTTTGAATAATTGAAATTTTGTCAAATTAAATTGAAAATAATTGATTTTTTAAGTGTTTTATTAAAATTTTTGAAAATCAACTTTTGAAGAATTTTAATTGCAAATTTTGAAAATAATTGAATTCTGAAAAGTTTTAATAAAAAATCTTCAAGTGTAAATTCAAAAATGAAAATTAATGAAATTTATTAGTTTCCAAAAATTATATTCAAAATATTTTTGAAAAAAGTATTTGTTAGAATTTTTTTCATTCTAATATTCTAAAATTCAATTATTTTCAGAATTTTCAATATTACATATTTCTGAAAATTAAAATACATATGAAAAATAATAACATTAAATTTTTTTAAAAATTATTTTTAATATTTTGGAGAAAACAATCATGTTCATATTTATAATTAACATTCTTCAAAGATTTCAGTATCTTTTTTATATTTTTAAAAAATTCAATTATTTTTAAAAAATTTTATAAAATTTCAATTATTTTTGAAAGATTTTATAAAATTTCAATTATTTTTAAAAGATTTTCTAAATTTCAATTGTTTGGGAATTTTTCAATTCTATAAATATAATTGAAAACTATTATCTTTCAAAAATTATTTAGATACAAATATTTTTAAAAAATTAATGTTAAGAATTTCTTTATATTATAATTTTTTGAAAATATTATACCTTTTAATAACTTTTACAGTTACAATAATTATAAAAAATTGAATTTTTGTATCTAAATAATTGAGCTATCGAAGAACTTACGGAAAATTATTAAAAATAATTGATTTAGAGATGAACTTTAGTTAAAAATTGTAGAAAATAATAAATTGAATTTTGGAAGAGTTATTGTTGTGATTTTTAGAAATTATTAAATTTCAGGTTTAAAATTGGAATTTTTTAAATTTTATTTCCCTTGGAAAAACATTTGTTTTTCATTTTCAAACATTTTTTAAAAATATTTATTTAACAAAATTATTCAAGTTTTGAAGGATTGAATCTAGAAATCAGTGAAAGGTCAGGGAAATAAAAAATTAAATTTTTGTGACAACACTGAATTAAATAAACAACTTTTTCGACTTTTTTTGTATTTTTAATAGACTAAAGCGAATTTTTTTGCGCCTTAAAATTGATCCGAGGCCTAAAAATCGAAACCTTTCTTATTTAATTCCACTAAATAATTTATTAAAAAAGATTAAGAATACAAATTTTGATTATTATTATTATTACTTAAATGCAGTAAAACAAGTAAACATTAAATGATTTCTGGATTTTTTTCAAACTTACTACTAAACTTTTTAAGTCACGATTTTGATAAGTTTCACTTCTTTATTTCTTCTTTTAATTTACTGCGTATTTCATTTTACTTTATTCTTTGTTGATAATTTTTAAAATATGCTCATAAATTTTCAAAATATTCTATTTGTACATTTCCAGTTACGTTTAATTTTAATTCTTGATTAAATTCTTTTTTTTTATTTAATTCTTGATTAAAAAAAATTATTAAAAATAAATAAGTTCCTGAAAAGGAGGAATTTCAATAATACTTTTTATTCCCAAAAAAACTTTTCCGTAACCAGTGTATGAAAATTAAATTAATTATTTTTTAAGGTAATTAAAAAACATTTTTTTTCATCTTGAAAATCTTTTTTAAATATTGAAATTGTTTTCCTCGAGAAAATAAGAAAGAACAAGAAAAGTACAAAGAATCGAATGTTTGATGAACGATGACTATCGGGAACTGATTGACAGGATAAAAAGTCATAAAAAACTGAAGATAAAAACAGTGTTTGCAAAGGCATCTGATTTTTTCAAATTTAGAATCTAAAATGTCTTTTCGAGAACTTTTAAAATCTTTTTGGATATTATTTCTTATCTATAATAATTGTGAAAAAAACTCAATTTTTCGTTTTCCTTCTCGTTGGTAAAAAATTTCTTGAGTTTCGTTCTTAATTAAAAATTTGTTCTTTTTAATTAAAATTATAAATCTTTTTTTCCACCAAGAATCGACGTGATAATTATGAAAATACCACTAAACAAAGGATATTTTTTCAATTATTAATTTCAGCTCTCAAAAAATGACTTCCGTTCTTCCCGATCAACATCAGAGAAATGTCGTTCGAATAATGAAGCAGAAATCACAAAATCAAAAGACATCAAATCATTCAGGAAGAGAGGAAACTCGATCATTTCTAAAATTTTCACGTGAAAATTTAAGTCTATCAAATTCGGATCTTGAGCAGGGTTTTAATAAAACAAAATTCCGCATTGACAAACATACAATAATCAGTGTGACGGCTTTGATTTTGGCATTGTCCTGCGTTGCCGTTGAAATTTGCCGATTAAAATGGATTGTGGACAATTCGAGGGAAATGGAAATTCTCAAACGTGATGTTGACACTTTGAAGCATAGACTTTTGGAGGAGGATCTTCTTGATGAATTGAAAGCATTCGAAGAAAAGGTACAGAAAATCGCAAATTTAGATGTTTTAAAAATTATACGAAAGATTAGATAAATTTCAAATAATTTATTTATAAATGCTAGACAAAATTGCAAATTTGCAACAAAAAAAAATTTAATTTAAAAATGATGCATAATTTAAGATAAATTTAGATAAATTTATTTACTAATATTTATTTACTTATTTATTTATAAATATTAGAGTCGTTAAAGAAATCTAAATATTCGACTTGAATAGAAATTTTCACAATAATCAACAAGTAATTAGCTATACAATTAGTCGGAAAGATTACTCTTTCAATGATTTTTTGTTAAACCATAAAAATAAGATAGCCGAAAATAGTATATTTTAAAATTAAGCGATAATAGTTTTTATTTTCAAAATTAAACCAGGTCAATTTATTGAGAACAAAAATAAACTATTTTTCTGTATTTTTATAATAATTTAATTACTCATATGACAAACTTTTCATTTTTTCTTGAAAAATTTATTTTTGGTATAAAGAAACAAAAGAAATTAACTTCTTTATCAAATAATTTGTTTGTAAATAATTTTTTTAAAAATGTTTTTGTAAACAAATTAATGACCTGCATGACTGCAATAATCCATGAGAGTAAAATCTGTAGGAAATAAATATATAAAAAGATGAAGATGATTTAAGAAATAAATGGTGGATGAAATTAATAAAAATGATTTCTAAATTATAGAAAATAATTAATTTTATTAATAATTTAATAAACAATAAACAGAAAGATTTTCTCAAGCTAGGTTCAATGACTTTTCGTTTATGAGAAGTGTGCAAATGAGCTTGAGTATGAATAAAGATATCATGCTAGTAGAGCAACTATAGGGTCGTAAGCTCGATTAGTGTTTTAACGCAGAAATCGCTGTGGGCGAGGTAATACAGCGAGTTTCAATTTACGCGGATATTATAAACTCACAGAGGTTCTCAATGTATATATCTATATATTTCTCTCGAGCCCTCGAGAAACAAACCTTATAATTATTAATTAACATTAAGTGTATGTTCCTGACAACGTTTATCTGATGATTCACCAGAAAGTGTAACATCCTCATTCACATTAGTCACCAGATTGCCTCAAAATCTAATGGCTTTTCGTAATATTCAATTCACATCCCAAATTTATTTGGTCTTCTTCATCAATTTAAATTCTAAAGCTATTTTTAATTATCTTTTTCTTGAAAATACTATTTTTCTTTTTTTTCACCTTTGTCACTACTGAACAAATATTTTTTGTGTTTGTATTTATCTCAATCTTTGTTCCATTTTAATGACCTTTCTTCCTTTTTCTTCTTCTTTTTATTATTGTTATTATTATTACTGTTATTATTTATTTCTTCCTTTTTTTTCTTCTTATTTTTATTATTAATATTATTATTGTTACTACTACTACTACAGGGTGCCATAGGTCAGAAAATTCAAGGAAAAGTCAAGGAAATCAAAGAAAAGTCAGAGATTTTTATTAAAAGTACTGACAAAAATTTAATTTTTAGAATTCATACAAAAATTCTGAATTTTGGTGTCTTTTTTGTTTGCCTCATAAACTATAAAATTATCACAAATTCTAAAATGAAACCTTCAATTTTTTCTATTTCCGACAATAAGTAATTTCTTTTTAAATAACTTAATTTTCGAAGGACTATCCGCTAAATCGGTGTCCGCTAAACCGGCGTTCCAGTGTATTAGATTTTTGAAAAATTTTAATAATTAAAATTCTTCTGAAATTAGTTAATTTTTTTAATTATTTAATTAATTACTAAAAATAATGGATTTCAAGAAGAATTTTTGTTAAAATCCCTAAAAAATTAAATGTTGGGGAAGTTACAATAAATGATTGCAGAAATTCAATTATGTTCAAAATTAATTATGTACCTAATTATAATAAACTTCGTCAAAATTTCAATTTTTTTATAAATAATAAAATTCTTCTGTCAACTTCAATTATTTTTAAAAAATTGAATAAGATTCTTTGCTAAATTTCAATTATTTTCAAAAATTTTCCTCAATTTAATGATTTTCAGTATTTTCTATTTTAATAAAATTTTCGAAAAGAATTCAATTATTTAAAAAAAAATCTAATAAAATTCTACGCAAACTTTCAATTACTTTCAAAATTTTTTTTTTAAATTCTTAGCTAAATTTCAATTATTTAAAAAAAATTTAATAAAATTCTTCGCAAACGTTTAATGACATTCTCGTAAATAATAAAAATTTCACAGAAATTCAATTATTTACACCTTTTATACAAAATTCGCAATGATTCAATTATTTTCATAAATAATAAAACTCATCCCATAATTTCAATTATTTTTAATAATTCTTAAAACTTTTAATTAAATTCGTCGAAAGAATTCCCTTATTTAAAAATTTTTTTTAATTCTTGTCAAAATTTCAGTTACGTTTATAAATAATAAAATTCTCCTCCAAAATTCAATTATTTTCAAAAATTTTAATAAAATTTTTAAAAATTTTTTAAAAGAATTAAATTACTTTTAAAAAAAATTCATTAAAATTCTACGAAAACATTTGATTATTTTCATAATTAATGAAAATTTCACAGTAATTAAATTATTTGAAAATTTTTTCGCAATATTTCAATTATTTTCATAAAAAATAACATTTTTTACAGGGATTCAATTATTATCATAAATAATTAAATTCTTTTTAGAATTTCAATTATTTTCATAAATAATGAAACTCATCGCAGAATTCCAATTATTTTAATTGTCAATTTTAATCAAATTTCTCGAAAAATGTAATTTTTCTTAAAAATTTTACTATAAATTTGTCAAAAAATTCAATTACTTAAAAATTTGTTGTTATAATTCTTTGTGAGAATTTAATTATAAGAAACATTAAATTATTTATTTTTGTATTTGAATAATTTAATTCTCGTAGAAATTTCTAATAAAAATAGATTTAAAATTGAATTTTATTTAAAATTTCAGATAATAATTCAATATTAAAAGCATTATAGCGTTAATTCTTAGAAATAATTGAATTTTCAAGTGGTTTCAAATTAAAATCTTTGAAAATCTGAATTTTTCATATTTTTAACTAACAATTCTGTAGAATAAATTTTTCTTAAAAAGTTTAATTGAATTCCTTTTTGAAATTATTTCAATTTTTTATTTTCTAATATAAATTTAATTGAAGAATTTCCTAATAATCGAAATTTCGTAAAATCGAATTGTAAACGAGTGTGATTTAAAAATGTTCAAAGAACTTTTTCAAAAATTATTAAAAATAATTGATTTAAAGAAAAATTTTAGTTGAAAATTCTAGAAAATAATAATTGAATTGAAATGATGAAAATAATTTTTAAGAAGTTACAGTACAATATTCTTATAATATAAAATAATGATTTAATCACTTGGTCATCTTTAGTTATTAGAACTTTAAGATATGGAGCACTTCGAGTCGAAGACTCGGAGTTATCCATATCTTCATGTTTTCTAATAATATTCTTGCAAGTTGTTGAATTTCAATAAGGTTTGAATGTGAAATTTTTGAAAATCTTAATTCATGTGGAAAAATAATAATGATTAAATATTTATTTGAAATAAGACTATTGATATTTTCGAATAATTTTACAATTAAAAGAATTCGTAAATAAATATAATAGAAATTTTTTTGATTATCTAATAATTTTTAGAGTGAATCAGAATATTCTTTAGGGTCAGGGAAAACATCAAAATTTCGTCTGAAAATCAGGGAAAAACAAAATTAAATTTTTTTGGCACCCTTTACTATTATTTTTATTACTATTTTATTTATTTACTCGTTTATTTATTTGTTTTTTATTTGTTTATTTATTTACTTATTTACCTATTTAGTTTCGAGACCGAGATAAACTAAAATAAAAAACTTGTTTCATTTTTATTTTCCCATCTATAGCTTTACTCAGAGGGCAGTGATGACGATGATCTCGATATGGAAAATATCGATTATGATTATAATTACGATGACGAGTCTCACGATTACACTGATTATCAAGCTCTGGGACTTGCCACTCAAGCGACAAATCTTTCTCAAGGAGCTAAAGCGTCAAATATTTCCGATCACGATCTCGATGAAATTTTAGTGGCTCTTCGTCGAATGGAAGTGAAACGAAGTCGTGATCTCGAAAGATGTTTACGGGAGAAGATCAAAAGTGTCGAACGTGATAAAGTGTCAAAAGAGAGGAAAGAGGAAAAACAAATCGAAAACGAGGAGAGCGAAAATGAAAAAGTAGACAACGATAAGAAGAAAGGCTTGAAAGAAAATGCAGAAGTAGAAGAAGAAGAAGAACCGGAAAATATTCAAACTTTCACAAAAGTCACGAAATTAAATATAACCGATATGAAAATCTCAGCGGAAATGAAACAAAAGAGATCGATTTTAGGAGCTGAGGACATTGATAATTATCAGAGTGATCCAATTTACGAGATACCGAAAGAATTGTCAATTAATAATAATAATAATAATCGAACCCGAAAGCAGAGGAATCGAAATATAGAGTCGAGTACTAATAGAAATGAAACCAAAGTCAAAAATGATTCAATGTGAGTGTAACATTTCTTTTTAATATTCAAAATTGCATGAGAGTTTTTTTTAGTAAACCTGGAAAAAAAAGTTGATCAGTATTAAAAAGAGATAATTAACGAGAATTTTTTATTTTTGTAATTTATCGGCAGTCATTTTATTGTGAGTGGCCCCAACGTTTTTCAGAGGTCAGACGATGACGACGAGGCAGAAATCATTGTCGAAAAAGTTTTTTACCAAATCAAGATCTGAAGAAATTGAGGAAGAGACGAAAGAACACAATGAGAATTCTCGGGACGATGTCGATTCATTGACTTTAAAGAAAGAAGAGGGGCTTGGAATTAAAAAGAATCGCAAGAAGCTACTTTGGGATCGTGTCAAACACGATAATGCAAAAATCAAAAAACTCAAAGAGGTGAATTCATTATTTTTATTGAGAATAAAAAAAGAAATAATTAAATCAAAAATAATAATTTTTCCATATCAGATGATTAAAAATTTGAATTCAATTATTAAATTTCAAAAAGTTTTGAATTTTAAATTAAATTATTGAATTTCAAAAGATTTTAAATTTAAGATTTTCAAAAATCTAATTCCTGTGGAAAAATAATAATAATTAAATATTTATTTTAAAAAAAGTTGTTACGAATAATTTTACAATTGGAAATAATCACAAATAAAATATTCTTGCGTATCTAATAATTTTTAGAGTGAATCGAAATATTCTTTAAAGTCAGGAAAAAAGTGAGCAGAGAAAGACAAAGTCAAATTTTTTCAGCTTCCCTTGTTTAACAAAACAGAATAAAATTCCTATACAAGTTTCGTAAAATATTTTCAACTCGAAACCCGGATTTTGTAATTAACTCAGAATCCTGGTTGCAGTATTTTATGAGCTCTTTTGCTCGTAGGTAAACTCGTAAACTCAAAGAAATAAAAATTCATTCTTTTATACAATTTTGTTCTAAAGAGAAAAAAAATGAAAATAAAACAATGGTTTCAGAAAATAAATATTTCTCCTCAGATAGAAATTCTTCCACTCTCGGATGTGAGAGGAAAGAATAGAATTTTTAATTTTACGATAGAATAATAACATTAATAATAATATTAGAGAAAAGTTATCGAATTAATAATAATAATAATAATAATAATAATAATAATAATAATAATAATAATAATAATAATAATTTAAGGTAAAAGTCGACAACTTCTCTGAATTGTTATAATTAATAATAATTTAATAATAGTGTCTAATTAATTTTAACAGCAACGTTTTCCAACAGCTACTAAATTTCCGTCTAATTAATATAATTTTATCAATCGTCAGTTAAAAAACATAAATTTGCTGAGGTTTTCTTTTCATATAGTTGTTGGCTAGATTGCAATAAATCATTTTACAAATCGATATCGATTTACTGCAAGTGGTATCGTTAACATTTTACGTAATTTCATAAAGGAAGAACGTCAAACGAGTTCAGTAATAGTGGTTTTTATTGTCCTTGTAAAAATTTCTCGATCCAACGTTCAATTACATTCCTGCATAAAACAAAAAATCGAAAATAATTTTATCAATTTTTAATTAATATCTCTCTTCATTTAAACTTTGTAATTTTTTCAAAGAATTGAAAATATTCTGCGTTAGAAGAAGTATTTTTCCAATCAAATTTTTTAAATTTACAAATTATTTTAAATGGAAAATTTTTATTCCTTTAGCCCGAATTATATAAAATACACAATAATAATAAATAATACTAATAGAAATAAATTTACTTAAATAAAAAATAAAGGCAAAATTTAATAAAAAAAGAAAAAAATAAAAATATTGAGAGTTAAAATTGTTAACTAATTATTATTATTATTATTATTTGATAGAATCTAAAAGAAGCTATTGCTTCGCGATCGCATGGTCGAGGAATATCGAAGCGTCATCTGAAGGTTCCAAGGCAGGTATTTGCGGTGCATTACGGAGGCGACAGCAGTCTCTTTTCTGATGAAGATGAACATACGGGAAACGGAAGAGCAAAACACAGTGAAGGTGTCTTCAAGGCTTGGCAAGCAAGCGATTGGGTAACGGAACTAGGAATGAACAGACATTTCTTCTTGGGCGAAAATGGAAAGCTTTTTGTTCAAGAACCAGGTTTATATCTCGTCTATGCACAAATTCATTATCTCGATGAGCACGATGAAAATGGATTTCACATGTTGGTCAATGGTAGACCAGTTCTCCAGTGTATGGTGAGTTCTTCTCAATTTTCCATTAATTTGTATTTGTGGAATTTTATTTTTTAATTTTAATTAATGAATAATATTAATTATTTATTATTATATAAAATTAAATAATAATTATTCATATTATTAATAATAGCGTAACTACACGTGCATGTAATTTTAAAGCCCCTTGTTAGTTACAAATTCTTTCTTATTGAAATAAGAAATATTGTTATTTAATAGAAATTTATTATTTTTTAGAAAATATAATTTTTCTAAATATAATTCTTATATTTCAAAACAATATTTAATAATATATATAATATATTTAATAATATAATTATAAAATTGTTCATCGAAATTCAATTATTTTTAAAAATTTTAATAAAATTCTTTGCAAAATTTCACAGGAATTAAATTATTTACAAAATTATTAATAAATTTCCTCGAAATAATTCAATTATTTTCATAAATAATAAAATTCTTCATTGCAATTTAATTATTTTTATAAACTTGAATAAAATTCGTTGCAAGAATACAATTATTAAAAAAAATTTAACAAAGTTCTTTTCAAGAATTCAATTATTTTTATAAACTTGAATAAAATTCGATAGAAGAATTAAATTATTTTCAAAAGTAATAAAATTCTTCGCAGAAATTCAATTATGTTAAAAAATTTAAAAAGAAAATTCTTATCAAAATTTCAAGTATCTTTATAAATAATAAAATTCTTCTCCGAAATTCAATTATTTTAGAAAAATTTTAATAAAATTCTTGGGAAAATTTGAATTATTTTCATAAATATAATAAAACTCATCGCAGGATTTTAATTATTTTTGATACAATATTTTAATCAAATTCCTCGAAAAATGCAATTATTCTTAAAAATTTTATTCAAATTTGTCAAAAAGAATTCAATTACTTAAAAATTTGTTGATAAAATTCTTTATGAGAATTCAATTTTAACAAACATTCAATTATTCAATAAATTATTTATTTTTTAATTTAAATAATTGAATTCTTCTAGAGTTTTCTTATAAAAAATGACTTAAAAATGAATTACCGAATAATTGATTTATTATTTATGAAAATAATTGAATTATTGCAACGAATTTTATTACATTTTTTTAAATAATTGAATTTTTTGAGTAATTTTACTACTTGTAAAAATAATTGAATTGAAAAATTTTATGCTAATTTAAATTATTACAAAACATGAAGAATGTTTCATGTTTTTCATGTTTTGTAATAATATTCTTATAAGTTGTTGAATTTCAAAAAGGTTTGAATTTGAAGAATTTTAATTCCTACAGAAAAATAATAATGATTAAATATTTATTTAAAAAATATGTTATTGATATTTTTGAATAATTTTACAATTAAAGCAATTTGTAAGTAAATGTAATAGAAAATTTTTTTGAGTATATCTAATAATTTTTAGAGTGAATCAGAATATTCTTTTGGGTCCGAGAAAAAGAGGAAATTTTGTCTGGAAACAGGGGAAAGTCAGGGAAAAATAAAATTAAATATTTGTGACAACCCTGTAAATATTTTCCAAATTGTTAGTTACAATTCGTCAAAAAATACAATATTTAAAAATAATTTTTGAAAGTGAGAAAATAAAATTCTTTGAAATAGAAAATTTTTTTGAATAAAATTTGAGAAAATTTACTATTTTTTCAAATTTTTTTTCTGGAATTCAACTACATATTTTCAAAGAATTTTAATTACTCGATTTTTTAAAAAACTCATTTTTTTCTAAATAAAATGTTTTAAATTTCATTAATTTTTTTTAAATAAATATTTAAATAACTATTGTTTTTGATTTGCCCACCAGAAATTAAAATTTCAAAATTCTTTCAATATAAATGCTTTTGAAATTGAATTATTTCTAAAAATTGGAACTACAATAAATTATTCCAATTCTTGAAATTTTTTCTAAAATTTGAACTGAATTTCTTTTTCAAATGAATTCTTATCAAAAAGTAATTCGAGAATCCAATTATTTAAAAATACAAAAATAATTGATTATTTCTAAAAGTTGCAGCTGTCATTTTTTAATTTGAAAAAGAAAATTCGTAGATTTATTAAAAAATTTTCAATAATTTGATATTTTCTTAATATTTTGGATAACATTTTTCTTACCATACTTATTTCTCTGTCCTGTGAAATATCTGTTATTTTAAAAATTTTATGGCAATTGTTTCGCTACAGTCCCAAAGGTCTCACAGTGTAAAAAAGAAAAAAAAAAAAAATTACATGACAAAAAAAAAATTTTTTTTTTAAGAGAGATATATAAAAAAAAAAAAATTTTTTTCCAGAGAAGACAAAAAATTTTTTTTTTAAAAATAAAAAAAAAATTTTGAATTAAAAAAAAAAAAAAAAAAAAAATGTGTATAAATGATACTTACTCAATTAATTTCACTAAAACACTAATCGCTCTATTTACAAATGATTTGTCAAACTTTTGCCATGAGAATTTGAGCTGTGAAACTAAAATTTCTTCCTATTTTTTAATTAATTTTATTGTCTTTCATAGTTTTTCTTTTTTCCATAACTTCTTCTATTTTTGATTAATTTTATTCTCTCTACTATAATTTTTTCTTTCGCATACCTAATTTCTTCTTTTTTTTATTGAGTTTATTCTCTCTTTCATAATTATCCACTATATTTCTTATTATGTTTCATATCGTTTGCTTACTACCTCTTTCATAATTTTCCATAATTTATACATAGATTTTTTTTTATTTTTGCTCTCAAGCATTGAACATTATCATTCATAGTCCTCGATATAATTTTATATAGACAATTGTGGTCGAATTCTTTGATTAATTAACCCCTATCTGAAGCGCGAAGTACATCAACAGATTGTTTTATAATTTCTTTAGTGTCAATTATGATTGACGTTGAAATATTTCAATCATGAGAGCGGAATCTTTGATGTAGTTTAAATAGACTAGATATTTTATATGTATGTTCAAATCCGCATTCGGAAAATATCTCCTTTCTCTTATTGAACATTTTATTAACAATTTGAATTAAATTTAAATTTCATTTTCAATTTCATTTTCTTGAATTCAAATTATCGATTTTTTCTTAAACTTGAATTTTCAATTTTTTTCTCTAATTGAAATGTTTCTTCGGAAAAAGGAACGAAAGCAACGCTAATTTCAATTGATGTCGATTAAAGAAATTGTTTATGTTGAATTATGAAGAATTCTAGTTGAAGTTTTTTTGAGATGTAATTGAATTAATGAACTTTGTATAGCGAAAGGAGAGAAAATAGCTGCGGACAATATAAAACAATTTAGCATACTGGTCACAGAATTGAGCCGTTATGTCGAGAGAGATCATTATACATCTGGCAAAAGCATTCAATTCTTTTTAAAATGTTCAATGATAAAATACGAATACCAACACTCTTTATGTATTATTCATTCTGTTACTATAAAGAGTTTTCCAGTTAATCGTTTTTAAGACATTGACCCGTTAATATTGTATATTTATCCATCTGAATCATAATCATAAATTTCTTCATAATTCATCTCTCATTTTATTCTATATCTTTTCAATTATTCAACTAATTTTTTGGAAAGAAGACTTTTTGATAATCTTCATTTTCACTTCTTTTTATTTTAAAAATGAATTTACGAAATTTTTTTGCTTTTATTCTTTATTTATATGCTGCATTTTTTTTAGGTTTACAGTCCGGGAACGGGACACAAAAGTCGTTCCTGTTTTTCGGCACAAATCACAGTTTTACAATCAGGGGATCATATAGTTTTAAAAGATGTGGCCTCGGCTAGATACACACTTTTCCAAGAGGATAAAAGTTTCTTCGGTCTCGTCAAACTTGGAGACTGGAGACAACAACAAAAGCATCAGCAACACACTGTTTCACCCTAAAAGTATTTTTTTTCTCTAAAAAATGGTGAGTTTCTGAAATTATTTCCGCGAGCTGCAATTAATTAGAAACTAAATTAGAAAAAACAATGTTCATTTCTATTTTATTTTTTGATTATTTGTAGGTAATAATAACAAATTATAAATTTGTTTAAAATTAAATTAATTTTGACTAATTTTAAAATCCGACAATTCGAATCGTTCGAAACGATTATTTATTATAATCTTGATATAATTTTTGAAAAATAAGAAAATAACGGAAGACATTTTAAAAAAAATGAATTCCTAAATTATTTATAAAAAATGAGCTTCTAAATGTAATAATTCGATTATTTGATATTAGAGTAATTATTACAAAAAAAATGTTATTAGCCAGATCTCATACAATTTACGTGATTTTTATACCGAAGCCAATGTAAATAAATTTTTAAGCTTTAATAAAGCGTTTGTAATTTTCAGATTTTTAGTATAGAATTATTTTCCACTTGAATGATTAAAGTTTTATTGTCGATTTTCCTTTAGTAATTTTAGATTTTCTTATTTCTTCAATTTATTTTTTGACGTTTTCGATAAATATTGGATTTTATACTATTACTACTATTTCTACTATACTCATTTTACGATTCTACTCGAGATTTTACGTTCACGAGGTCACAAAGGACCCACAAAAAGAAAATATAAAAGGGTTGGCGAATTCTGACCTCATTCTCACGATTTTATTCGGTTACCTTTTTCGTTTCAAGGACACATTCAACTTAAAAATATAACAGATTGTTCTCTATGAATTTAGAGAATCCTAAAGTCGAGATTTTTATGCTCCATCTATTTTTTTTAAATTCATAAACAAAAAGGTGAAATAATTTTTACTATATGCAAGAATTTTATTTCACTTTTTCGAAATTTATTGAAAATTATTAAAGTGGAAATATTTTTACTTGCAACAGTTTGTGATTTTCTATTCCTTTTCGCAATAATTCATCGCTCTTTTACTACCAATTGGTAGTAGATCGCCAGGGATTTTCATTAAATCAACAATGTAATTTGTTCGCAGAAGTTTTGTGGGAAAAATATGGTTTTTTCTATTTAATTTCAAAACTGAATTTTTTAAGAATTTCGAATTATTCTTTGATATTTTTGGATCGTTTCCCATTTCGTATGTTGTGGTCGATTCCTCTTCTTCTTCTTCTTCTTTTTCTTTCACGTCAGTTGAGATCTAAAAATTTTTAAAAATAATTTTTTTTTCTAATTTCTAAATTTTACAGGGATCACAGTTCCCTTTTTTTATTCCCTGTTGGAAAAATTTGTATTTATGTTGAAGAAAAAAAGTTGAAGAAAAAAAGAAAAAAAAATAAATAAAAATTATTTGATACAAATAAATATTTATTTCATAATAGATAAGTAATCGTTTATTTGAATCAAATAAATTCTTTTGTAATGTCAAATTTTACTATTTCCAAAGTTAATTTTTGTATAACAATTATTAAAATTTAGTTCAAACATAGTAAAATTATTTTTTAAAAATTGTGTTTTTCAGAGTAAATTTTTCTATTTCTGATGTAAATTTTTGTAATTTTTGTAAATCAATTTTTTTTGGAGGAAATTTTACCAAGTTCGAAGTAAATTTGACTAATTTTTACCACAATTTACTTCAAGTTTTGTAAAATTGAGTACTCGTAAAATTCGTAAAATTTAAAGACAAAAGTAGCGTTGTAACAAAAATTTTAATTCAAAATTCAACAAAGTTGCAGACTACAGAAAAAAGATAAAAAAAATTAATAATGAACTTCTGTTCAAAAACTAAACAAAAACATCTGATTTAAAAATGCTTTGTAATTAAAAGAAAAGTAAAAAATTTTTAAATAAATCATATACCGTCTAGTACAATAATTTTTTACTTAATTTGAAATATTTTTTTTAAACTGATAAGAATTTAATCTGGTTTTCTTAGAACCTTTTTTTTTAACTGAACCCCCTTCTCATGAATTAAAATTAAATATTTTAAATTAAATATGAATTCAAAAATTAAAATTACCTAATATTACATGAAAAAATCACTGTGATCCCTGATTTTAGAAAAGAAATTAGAAGAAAATTTGCGTAAAATAAAAAAATTATGCCTTTGGAATAGAAATTTCCACCCAAGTTTTTCCATATTCTCCGCGAATAAGAGCAGTCGGCAAACCAATTCTATCGGCTAAAACTTTAAAAAGTAGCGATCTCTCCAAATAAGATCCTAGTCGAAGTTGCCCCAAGGGAATTACACTTGTTTTAATGTCACATTTGATTTCACACAGATGTAAATTCATTAGATGATCGATACATCCGTTTGATGGTGAAGGACCCGATAACTGACGATCGACAAATTCGGCGAGTAATTTTGCCCTCGACGCTATTAAACTAATGTCCACGAGATTGGGCTCATTATTGCTATTCATTTGTTGGAGAAAAATTCAAATTATCTCATTCAATTTTTATTATTCTTAAATTTGGAAACTTAATGGCTTAGTGTCAATTCATACTGATATTAAATTATATTAGTATTAATTGATACTTATTATTCAATATTCAAACAGTACAAATTTAAAATATTTTTCTCTTGCCTTTCGTAGGATTCGGATGTTTTAATTCTAGATTTTAGTAGTTCCAAATATTCATAAAGAAAAGGATCCGTTTGTATTCTGCCAAATTTTAATTCTAACCAGGCACTTAATGTGACTGATGTTAATTTTATTCCCCTGCAGTTGCTTTCTCTTTTTAATTGTTCCGAAGCTTCTGTAAATAATATTCTTTCAGTGTAATTTATTCATAAATATATTTAGAATTATCTATAATTTTATTGCATTAGCTTTAGTTAAATTATTATTTATACAAATTATTATTTATACTTTTATACAAACAGTATTTGACAAAAATTAAGGTCCTGGAAAAAATACCGAAGTTAAATTATTATTATTATAAAAAATAAATTTTTCTATTTACGAGATTTAAGATCGTTTAACGGAGTCAGTGTTCCTACTGATATGCGAGATGTTTCAGAAGGATCCCTAAGATATTTTGTTAAAATTTTTCGTCCTTTTTCTTCTGTAAACAATTTTATAGAAGTTTGATTCAAAGTTAATAATTTATATCAAAAAGCAAACAAAAATTATTATCAATATACTTTAGGATCGTAATTTAAGTTTTAAAACACTTTTTTAATACTTAATTAAAAATTTCCAATTTCTTTTTAAAGAATTTAATAATATTATTAATTTAATTAAATTTAAGAAAGTTTTCTTAAGTTTCAAAATTGTAAATATTTACATCATTTTTAATTAAAATACCTGTTCTAGATTTCTCTTCAATTTCAACCTTTTCGTATGAATCGGATTCTATTTGTATTGGCTGACTAAAATTTACCACATAAATCGATTCTAAGGGACAAGCTTTCAAACTGAATAGATCTTCCAAAATAGGAAATCTATATTCACAAGAATTTAATTTGAAAAATATGGAAAAAACGAATTGTATTTGAAAAAAATTACCGTCATTATTAATAATAATAATAATAATTATTAAAAAATACGATAATTATTTTTTAACACAATTATTTTTTTTGTATTCGATTTTTTCTAAATTTAAATTTCCTTTCAAAATAGGTTTAAAAAAAAAAATTTCCTGCTATTTTAATAAAGTACACTGACGGACAAGTATTGCGACGAAGAACGTAAAATCCATCTTGAGTAATATCGTGCAAAGAGAGTCTTCCGGTGTAAGCAAATTTAATTGGTAAATGTCCATTCATTAGCGATTCAATACAACTGTCCCAAGTGGGAATAATTTTCGCAGCACTTCGATGTTGAAGCATACTAAAAATATTAAATCCAAATTTTACCCTTTTTTGCTCGTCTAAGTAGAAAAAGAATTAAAAAACTCTTTTGAGTTAAAAAAAAACTTTAAAGTCACTGTTCAGAAAAGAAGAAAAAAAATTTGCCTGTCTATAATAAACAAATTTTAATATTTTTAAATATTAATCATTAATTTAATTAATTAATTAATGAGAATAATATTTTTAATATTTGTAAAATTAGAAAATATTTTTCAAATTTAATATTTACATATTCTCGTCAAAAATAAGAAGGCCTTGTTTTAAAAATATTTTAAATATTTTAAAAATTAAAAATAAAGAAAACAAAAATAAAAATGTAGCCCAAGAGTAAAAATTAGATAAATAAGAAATTTGCAAAATATCCATGACCTACTATAATAAATATTCGGCCCGAATAAATAATTCAACGAGTATTGGATCAGAACACAATTGTTGAACAAGTTTTACAGCAGAATCTCTAACTGGAATTGACTGGGTCTCGAGAATCATGGGATACAAACTAATAGTTCCATTGACATTGGCGAAAATTCTTCTTCCCATTTCTTCTATACAAAATGTTGACAATGTATCGCAACATGTCATTTTTAGCCGATCGCTTTCAATTTTCAACTGTGTAAATTATTCAAAATTAGAAATTAAAAATTTAAAAATTTAAATTTTAAACCAAAATGAAATTTTAACAGAAAATAAAATTCAAAACAAAATTGAGTTTTCAAATTTAAAGAAAAACTACATTAAAAGGTGTACATAGAACTTCCATCAATTCGATACTAATTATAGTCTCTCTAATTTTCGGATACTCAGCAATTGATTTTAAAATTTGTAACACTGTTATTTGAATTTCCTCGATCACTTTTTCCGTCTGTTTAATCATCCGATAAAGAAAGTCCTGAAAAATAGCATTTTTCAATTAAATTTAAATTAAACGATTTTGTAATTACATTTTGTAATTTTGTTCATTTATTACAATAAAAATTAAACCAAACTTCACCTGTCCATTAATATTTAAAAAGTTTTGACAATTTTTGAAATCACACTGCATTAATTCATTTAATGCAAATGCGGCCGCTAATCTTGAACGCCAGTCAAAATTCTCGTTTTTTAGAAAATCTGATGAAAAATTACAAATTTATGTTTCATTGCCCGATATTTTTAAGTATAATCAAGAAAATATTTTAAATGCTCCATAAAATTAATTTTATGGGAATTCAATGGTCAGAAAATATTTTGATCCCTTTTGATTTTTTATTTTTTCTGAAAAAGTATAAACTAATAGATATTGAAATCCACACCTACGTAATTTTGTAGTAAACATATTTTTGTATCCACAAAAAAAATTGCCGAATAAAAAGTTTGATTTTTACTATTTTTGAAGCATCTTTAATAAACAAAAATTGTTTTTAAGCTCAAAATGTTAAAAATTCTAAAAAATTCTATCGTTATACAATTTTTTAAATTGAAAATTCAATTCTTTATTATTTTTATTTATTTAGACATAAAATATTGATTTTAAATTACATAGTTAGAAAAATAAACAAATGGATTTCCAAATAGAAAAATTGAATAACAATAGTGTTTCTCAGCATTTTTAGCCCAAAAACAATTTTTTTCAAAAAAAAAATGTTTCAAAAATAGAAAAAATAAATTTTTTTACTCTGTAATTTTTTGTGAAGCCAAAAAAATATTTTCTACAAAATTTGGCACGGATTTCAAAATCATTCAGTTTTTTGAAAAAATAAAAATTCACAAGGAGTCCAAATATTTTTTGACCTCTTTTATTTTATGGCCATTAAATTCCTTACAAACAATTCCCATAAAAATAATTTTACAAAATATATAAAATATTTTCTTGATATAGTTAAAACTATCAAATAATTAATTTATAATTGAATTAAGATATAAATATTAATTATATAAAATGTTTTTGTTTGTTTGGCCTAATGACTAATAATTTATAAATATTAATTGAATTGATAAATAAAAAAAAATTCATTTGTACTGCGAGATCTTGAGTTGTAAAATAAATAAAAAAAAAAAGAAAGAAAATTCTGAAAATTTAATAAATAATATGAAGAATTCAATAATTTAAATAAAATGAATGTGAGACAATTTTGAAAAGTACCATTAATTTTTCTTAGTAAAGAAACAAAAGAAAAAGTTGATTATGGATCTTAATTAGTAAATTAAGGTTCACTTACTCAATAAATTGTTAATTGGATTCTCCTCTGTTAATTCAGCAGCAGCCGGTCCATATTGTGACATTTTTCCAATTCCATAGCAAATTAAACCAGAAACATTAGGTTCAGTATTAGTGTCTCGTAAAATTTTTAATAAATAATTAACAAAGTCGTGAGAAAATAATACCTATATAATAATAATTCAAAATTTTATTCGTAATTTCCAAAAAGAAGAAATAATTTTTAATCAAAATAACTATTAAACTTGACCTTTTTTCCAGAAATTGTATCAGCAATGTTTACCATAACTCTCAATACGTCGAGGGGGATTTTTTCATCTGATTGTTGTTCGAAATATTTAAATAATTTTTTCATTCCACCTACTCTAATCAGCGTATCGACAGTTTTTGAATTATTACAGGCAAGGGATAAAATTTTCAAAACATCAGAATGAATATTTATGTACTCCACATTCTATAATGAAAGAGATGAAACAATATGATCAGCCGTTGGTGAATTTTAATAGTTACCGTAATTCATTGTCATAAACAATTGATTAATTAAAGAAATTATCTACAAGTAAATGAATTAAATTCAAATGAAATAAAAACAAAACATTTGAATTAGATTTTCTGTATTAAAAAAAAATTAATTTTTACTTCGAGAATATTCAGTACTTCCTGCAAACCACCCGATTTTCTAAATATTTCTTGTAAATTTTCATCCTTGCTCTTCGTGACTAATTTTTCAATAAATTCACAAGATAATTTGTTAATAACTAAATCGGGTATTTGTAATAATTCGTAAATTGGTTGCAAAGAGAATTCCTAAGTTTTAGAAAAATTAATTAAAAAGGTTTTTAAAAGTGAATTCAAAATTAATTATTATAATAATTAATAAATATTTGTTAATATTAACTATTATTAGTAATTTTAATTCTTATTAATTTAATTAATTTAGGGTAGGGTGGGGCATTACTATTCTTTTTTGGATTTTTGAATCTAGAAAATGTATTTAAAAAAAAATGAGTAGAACCGTTTGAAAGCTTGACTTCTAAAAATATAAATTAATTTGTTAATTGGAGGATTTTTTCTGGTTTTTTTTCTTCCAATTTCTTACCATTCTAACCTAAAAACAAGCACATACAAAAAAATACACTGTTTTGTAGTTTTCGCTGTCATCAGTGGAAGAATAGTTACGCCCCATCCGCTCATTTTTTGAAAAAACACTTGTGAAATTTTTTAACAGTAGAATATCAAAAATCCATTATGATATTCGTGTTCAGCACTAAATTTGACTTTAGAAATAATTTTTCCGATAATTTTTCCGACTGTTTAGTAATGCCCCACCCTACCCTAAAATAATTAAACAATTTTTTCTAAATGAATTAAAAATGAATTATTAAATTTATTAATTAGAATAATTATTATAGATAAAAATTAATTAGTAGAATAAGTTGTTTATTAAATAGATAAATAAAATTAATTGAAATTGTACAGTAAAAGCTGTCGGAATACAACTCGACTTTTAAAATTTTATTACAGTAAAAAATACTTAAAAAATGTTTTATAATTTAATTTTTGTAATATTTTCACAATATTCTAGAACTAGGCGAAAATAATTTTTGTTGAACATTTTTAAAGGGAAAAAATTTTTTAAAAAAATTGCATTCCGACAGATTTGACTGTAATTGAATTACTATACAGGGGAAAAAATAATTGACTTTGCTCCCAAAGGATCATTCATTAAATTATTCAAAATCTCAATAGAATTCTTCTTTACGCCAACATCCGAAGACTGCATTAATTTCAATAAATAATTATATTCTGAATTTTCCTTCAAAAATCGAGCAACCCCATAAAGATTATTAGTAAGTTCGACGAAAATTAATAATGTTGATTCTTCTAATAATGTGTCTGAATCATTAATCAAGACATTTCTTAGAAACTGCAAATTTTCATCATCCTGTAAGAAATAATTTCTCACGCAAGGAATCTTCACCATTCGTGATACAAGTTTTGCAGCACATCTAAAATAACAAAATATCGTTAATAAACTAAACTTTATAAAAGTTAAAAACAAATTCAGTTTCAATAAATTTAGATTTAATTAATAATTAATTAATTTAATTATTTTTAATAAAATGTCACAAAAGAAATCAATTTTTTTCTTAATTCATTATAAAATTTTTCAAAAGAATTCAATTATTTTCCAAATGTTTTCTAAAATTCTTCGAAATCAATTCAATTAATTCAAAGGTTTATTAATTAATTCCTTGTATGAATTCAATTATGTAAAGAAAATAATGCAATAAAATTCTAGGAAAATTTAATTATTTTCTAAAAATTTTTGTAAAATTCAATTATTTTTAAAATTTTTAATTAAAATTATTATTTAAAGAAATTTTTCAAAAAAATTTAATTAGGATTTTCAAAAATTTTAATAAAATTCTTCGCCAGAATTCAATTTTATTTATTAAGTTTTTATTAAATTTATTTATTATTCTATTTATTTAGTAAATTATTTATTATAAAGTACATAATTAGAAAAAAATACGCCTTTATAAAAACCTTCGGGAAAAAATATCTTCATGGCTGAGTAGAGGGATGATTTTTTCAATAATTTCAAGATTAAACAGAACATCTCGATTTCCTGGTGATTTTTCGGCAAAATTCAATAATGCCTCGCAAGCTGTTGCAAGAATTGATTTTTCTTGACAATCTAAAAGTAAAATCGCTGTCTCCGGCTGTGTTATTTCCAATTTTAGTGGTTCAAAATTTTCATTTCCATTTTCTTGTTTTCCTCGACTTTCTATAGAAATTCGTTTCTAAAATTTAAAAAGAAAAACAAAATTTACAAAAATCTCTAAAGAAAAGAAGCAAACAATTTTTCCTCGAACAAAACAAAACGAAAAAAAACCAAATTGACAGAAATTTAACAAAATCTTACTTCTGACGATTTCTTTGACATTTTTAAAATTGATAAAAAAAATATTTAATTTTAATTTAATTTATCTTTATTGAAATAAATCCATAATTTTGAAAATATTATGTAAAATAATATCGTCAATCACTTTTACAAGAAAAAAATTGAACTCCAAAAAATTAAACAAAAGACAAATAAGTTTTTTGTATATTTAATTGCAAGACAAATTTTTTAATTAGGTATTTTATTTTTTATAACTTGTGTTAAGAAAGTGAATTTTGTTTTAATTTAAAAACTAATTATTAAACTAGGTATTATTTATTATTAAATTTATTAATAATTAATTATTAAATTAATTTTATTATTAAATTTAAATTGAATTAAATTTTTATTAAATTATTACTATAACAAAATTTTAATTTTTCAGAAATTGAATAAACTTACAATTTTGTTTACTATTAGACTTTATTACTTAGTTTTGCGAGTTACGTGACTCAGTATGAAATGATGTGTACAGTATTATCTCTTTTACATATACATTTCTTTTTTTATAAAACCTACTTATTCACAGTGGATTATAAAAATTTAATTTAAAAAAAAGTAAGTAAATTATTTTGTAATTGATATTTCTAAAGTACTGTATATTTGTTCTTAAAACGTTAATCTCTTAAAAATGTTACATAAAAAAAACTTTGAGATCGCTATTGCTAGAAGTCGTATATTGCGTGAATATTTTTATTCTATAAATATTTAATGAACATCAGAATTTACTTTTACACACAACGATTTATAATCTCAAAGATTCAAATTTCACTAAAATTTCTTAAAATTTTCTCTCTAATAATTAAATATTGTCAATTTTATCTGTAATTGAATCTCAAATTCATGAATATTTCATTCTAGAATTGATTTAATTTAGTCGTTTATAATTAATGAAATAATTTTTTAATCATCGATTGTATAAAAGTAAATTCACACATTATTTGAGCTTCGTGAATGACAGTGCAAACTTATCTACTGGAAATATTTCATTTCCGATAATATAAAGACGTATAATATAAAATTTCCAAAATTCTCCTGAATAACCATTATTATACACAAAGTAGAATTTTTTCTTTTTCGTTTTAAAAACTTTAAAAATCTTTGTGTTATAAATAAACATATTTAATTTCTATTCTAGCAATTTTAATACTCTATTTTTCTTAAAAATGAAAATATTCCCCCTTTTTTTTTGTTAAACACTAAGAATATATTTGGCGTGATTCACAAGAGACTATTTTGTCCCTCGAATAGAGACAGTTAAAAATTTTTATTTGTGAATCATTGTCGAAAGTGGGTAACAATATTCGCAAAATTAAAAAAAAAATAATAATAGTTTGTGCTAATTAAATTATAACTAAGATACATTCCTTTTTTTCATTCAATCGACGACGAGCTTTTGAATATAAACGTAATAATTATTATTATATTTATATTTACAATACACAATAAATTCCAAAAATATATATTCATTTACACTCGGTATTTTTTTTTATTTCTTTTATACCTTAATGAATATAACAGACAATAATAATTAGTTTCATAAAACTAAATAATCTACTCTATAAATCTATAACGTTCACATTTTCGATGGACGGATAGGTTTACTTATTAAATCTATTGAAGAACGGACAAGACGGTGGTATGCATCGATTCATTTTCATACAATGAATGTTGCGACTTACTTAATTAAATGATTAAAGCCCATAATTCTAGGCTCGTAATGGCTAGTGCAATGGCTATATTATCAAAATTTATACTTTAAAAGTTATCTTACACTAAAGAACCATTTCGGAAGTTTATTGTAAATCTTTTTTTTTCATTTTTAATATACACGAACGAGTTCAATTTGAACTCAATTGTAATTAATTGTTTAACATTAAAGAAATCGAAACTAAGTAGAAAAAAATTTTTAAATTAAAAAATAACTTAAAAATTTCTAAATACTTTTTTTTCTAATTTTTAATACAGTTTTTATTTCTTATTTTCTTTTTCTTTTATAAATTTTATTCTTCAATAAATTTTATTTTCGATCGACAGCATTGAAATAAAATGTTTCAATGTTTTAAAAATTTGTGTTTAAATATTAGAATATTAAGTGAAAAATAATTATTTAAAACAAAATAAATACTTTTCTTACATTTTAAGAACTTATGTTCTTAAAATTCCAACAAATAAAGTATAATTTGAAACAAATTCAAAAACACGATTTGTGAGGTCCTAAGGTAGAAAAACATCGAAATCGAATAAAAAATCACAATTAGAAATTTCCACAAAAACAAAGCTTCCTATGAAGAAGCAATACAGTTTAAAAAATTACAACTGATTTAAAAAATCCTGATTCGTGCGTATTTTAAGAAATGAAAATTAAAAATATTTAATGTATTGAAATATTTGTAATATTGGAATATTGTGAATATTAAAATATTTGACATATTATAATTATTAAAATATTATACTATAAATTTTTCAAAGTAATTGAATTTCAAAGTAATTTGAATTATTAAAATTCTATAACCTAAATAAATTCCTGCTAAAATTTTATAAATTATGAAAATAATTGAAATCTTGACAAGAATTTAATTAAAATTTTCGAAAATAATTGAATTTTTTCCATTAATTGAATTAAAATTGTATGGAAAATACTTCAATTCTCATAATGAATTTAATCAACATTTTTCAAAATAATTGAATTTTTTCAAGGAATTTAATTAAAATTGTATTGAAAATATTTAAAAAATAAATAAACATAATAAACATTCAATAATATTGATTTTTTGAGAAGAATTTTATCAAACTTTTAAAAATAATTGAATTCTTTTTGAGAAATTACATTGAAATTGTATTGAAAATAATTGAATTCCTGCGAAGAATTTTATAAAAGTTTTTACTGTGAATATTAAAATTTTTAAATAAAAATTTTAATTTTATTACATCTAAATATTGAAATATTAAAATATTTAAAATGTTAAGGATATTGAAAATATTTAAATATTTAAAATACAGTAAACATTAAAATAGTCCAAACATTGTAAATACTAAAATATTCATAATCTGCAAATATTTTAATACTCAACATACATTAAAAATTTTAAATACTATAAATATTTAAATATTTATTTATCATATATGAAGCTTAATACTTAAAATTATTACGGACTTGGTGCAAAAATAATTTGATCATGGGCTTAACATAAATTAAAAAAATTGGATAGAAAAATTACCTAAATCTTGCTTTCGACAGAAAAAATAATTAATCTACATACTTCGAAAATCTATCAATTCGAAAAGAAATTGTAAAAAAAAAATTTAAACAACTTTTAATAACAGTCATTTCAGTTAAAATGTTAAATTTCTAAACATTTAGTTTTTTAAAAACTAAAAAAAAATTCTAAAATAAAAAAAATAAACAATTAATGTAATCAAATGAAACTAAAAAATAAAATCAAATGACAATTTCAGTCAAACTGAAAATAGACAAACACAAGTAAAATTAGTTTGAAGTAAAAAAAGAAGTACATAAAAAACAAACTAAAACGAAAATACTCGTTCAAGTGAAATTTAGAATCACAAAATGCATTATTTCAGACTAAAAAAAATTCGCCACTGGAATGAAATTAAATTTAAAAGTAAAAAAAAAAAGTTCTAAGTTTCTTTTTTCCTCTGCGGAAAAAAGTAATCAAACGGCAGTTTGAGGCACACCTTGAACAAGCAAAGTTTTGCTTTTAATTTTAGTAGCCAATGTTGTTTGACTATTGGCCTTTCCAATTTTCGATTGACCATTGGGCGAACTCGTAACAAAACCCTCGGAGCGCATATCTTTTAATGATATATTTGAATTACTTCTCAACGATGGTGTTGAGCTAAATTTTCGATTTTGAGCCAATCTCTCTTGAAGTTTACTATCAGTTTGCCTTGGAAGTCGTGGTCTTACCGGCGGTGTATCACGATATTCATAAACATTTTCTTTAGAAGCCCTCGTCGTCATATTTTCGATTCCCTCCGAAGGCTCTTCGTCTCGTACCATCAAGATGTCTCCGCTATAGTAGTGATCGCACTTTCTACAAAAATAAACAACACAGAGAAATAAAAACGAGCGCTCTTTTCTTTTTTAAATTAAAACCAATTGAATTTAATTGCCGGGCTATTAATTCTTGTTAAAGTGTAAAAAGCCTTGCACAATGGTGCGAAACTAAAATCAAAAGGGTGAATAAAACATTCAGTTTATTGAATGAATAATCGAGTTTATAATACAATAAACTTTTCATTAAAAAATTTAATAAAAAAAACTAATTTTCATTTGAGAACTTTGAATTTTTAATTATAGAGTAGGATTACTTTACAGGCCTCAAATAGTATGACTTTTTGAACTTTTTTCGATTATTTTCAAAAAATGCGACTCTTCTTTCAAATCTTGCAACAAAATGCAATTTTTAATTGAATTAAATCGAATTGAATATATAAACTTCTTAACCGTTAATTAAAAAATGCTTCTAAAAATTTTGATTATCAAAAGAAAAATTTATTTAATATAAAATGCAAATAAATTTCGATTTTTATAGTGAAATCATACGGAAATTATTTTTGAACAATTTTTAAAACATTATAATTCAATTTTTGTAAGATTTAATTAAATTAATCATTTTTTTGTATTTCATTAAAATTATTGAAAATTAATTTGGAGAATTTCAATTTTCCATAATAATTGAATTCTTAAAAAATTCTCAATAATTTTAATGAAAAATCTTCAAATAAAAATTTGAATATAAAAATTATCTTTAAAAAATTAGATAAAAATATTTTTCAAAAAAGTTAAAAATGTTAAATAAAAAATAAATATATTTTTAAAATCTAATATAATAAAATTATTATTAAAGTTTGTAAGAAAACAAACATTTTCACAATTTGGCATTAAATTAATCAAAAAATTGATTATATTTTTTAAATTGTCCAAAAGTTCTTTAAAGAATTCAATTTTTTTCCAAAATTTTTACTAAATTTCAACTATTTAGAAATATTTCTATTATTTGAAATTTTGAAAAATGCACTTCTTCAACAATTATTCCAAAATATTTTTTAAAAAACCTTAATATTTAAAAAAAAACAAGTAAGATATAATTTTATAAATTTCTCAATCATTTTCCATATTTTTAATAACATTTTTCCATAGATTTAAATATCTACAAAAATCTACATTAAAATTTTTTTTAAATTAAATTTCTTAGAATTATTAAAATTTTGAAAAAAAATCATTTTCATAATTTTAAATTAAAATTCATGAAAAAGCCAAAATATTCTTTTAAGAAATTCAATTATTTTCGAACCATTAAATTGCAATATTTTTAAAAAACCTATTCTTCGAATTTTTAAATTTGTTATTTTATTTTAATTAAAATTATTTTTAAGAAACTAATTTTAGGAATTTTTATTATAATTTGTTAAAAATCAATTACTTTCAATATTCGTCGTTACATATTTTTAATAATTCATCTCAATTACTTTTAAAACTTAACCAAAAAAAAGCTACAGTTACAATTATTATAAAAAATTGAATTTTTATATTTAAATAATTAATTTCTCGAAGAAATTTCGAAAAATTATAAAAAATAATAATTGATTTAGAGAAAAAGTTTAGTTTGAAATTCTAGAAAATAATTGAATTTTAAAGAAGTTGCAGTAGCAATTATTAGAAATAATTAAATTTCAGAAGATTTGAAATTTAAATAGTTTTAATTCTTGTGGAAAAATAAATAACTATTTAAATATTTAACTTGTGACTTTTTCATGTCACGAAAAAAATTTTTTTTTTAAATAAACGACTTTTTTCTATTTTTAATTAGATTAAAGCGACATTTCTGCTCCTTAAAGGCGATTCAAGTTCTGATTTTACTTCAGAAAGTATTTTCAGTTTGCTCGAGTATTCATTTTTTTTTAAAAATCAATCAAGTGCAAAATTAAAAAAAATATATAATGAAAAGTGTGATAATGATGATTTAGAAAAATTACCTGAGAAACTCTCTCTTGCTGCCATTGCTTGACTAAGAATAATAATGAAAATGGCAAAAATTACTTCAAAACTGTTAGTAAATGAAGCGAATGAAAACAAATTGAAATTCAGTTTTTCTTTAAATCTTGTTAACAGAAAACCAGAACCACGTGCACTACTTTATTTCCCAATTTGGTGAGTAACACCTACTTAAAAAGAGTAGTGACGACTTGGTTCTGTTTACCTTTTCCCTTACCTCTTGGAGTTTCGCCACAGCATACAACAGACCACCGATATGACAATCAACACCAAACAGGCCGTTGACATTGACCAAAATGCGATTTGCAGTGGTTGCTTCGGTTCCCACCAGTACTTAAGAAAAAAAGAACAATTTTAATTAAAAAACTGAAACTTTTTTTCTATATTTAAAAATCGTAGACATTTTTTCAAAATTCCGAACCAAAATCAAATAGAAGCATAAAATTATTTTTTGTATAAAATAAAAATCTCTTTCTCTTCCAAATTGTTTATAGGAAATAAAAATTTGATTCTTGATTTTAAGGAAGAATTATTGATATTTGTACCTCTGTTACGGGAGGATAAATTGGGGCCAATCGTCCAATTACTGTTGGTAAGTACATGGACCAAAATGCACTTTCAGTTTGTCGATAATTAAAAAGAATGGAACTATTATAGGTTGTATTGATATTCAAATAACGCAGCCAGCCTTGTTTCGCTTCGTCGAAATGAAGTCCAAGAATTTGCGAAGGCGTCGGATTTCTAAAATAACAATAAGTTACAAATATTTACAAAAAAGTGTATTTCGTTTTCGTAAGTTTTCGATTTTATCAAACGAAAAAGAATATATAAGAATTGTATTTTTAATAAATTTTCAACTTACCCATAATGTGCAAAGTTGGCGTAAGCTTTCATGAAAAAGTAACTCATATTCCGATCATTGTCTGTCCACATCTCTTTCTTTAATTTCAAAGAACTGGGAAATAATTCTGCAAACATTTTTAATTCAAATATATAAACTTATGTAAAGTTTAATTTTCTAATTATATTATTATATTATATTTGAGTATATTTATTTGGTTCAACACTACAACTGTAAAATTATAATTACAAAAAAAAGTGAAATCTTTTCTTACCAGTATCCATGAAGGGGGCACCGGTTAACAGTAAATATTCAATATCATGGGGAACACGCTGCCAGTGTTCTAATTTCAAAGCTTCAATTGTTGTATTCAAAACGTATAAATATACGGGAACATTTTGCTCCACCAGTAATTTTGCAATTTTATCATTTGGTGCAACATAAAGGAAGTCTGACAATAGCTGCAAAAGAGGAAAATTAAATTACTAATTATGCAGTTGCTAAGAAATTAAATTCGAATAGAATTAAATAATTTAACTCTACTCTAACATACAGTTGGATCAAAAAAATGAATTTCTAATAAAGTAATTTTTTAATAAAGTAGGGAGAAATTTTATGCTAGTGAATACAAAAAAACTGTCTTAATCGATTTTATAATTAAAAATTTGTATTATATATTCTTTAATTTGGTTCAGAAATATTTTTTATTTAACTAGGAAACATTTTTTTAAAGTATTTGAAAATTTTTATTTCCTTTTAAATTTCGTTTCGTGAAAAATTCCGGGAAAATACAAAAATTATTTCCTTCATTCCTTATTTAATTTTATTCAAACCACACTTTTCTTATTCTTTTTTAATTAAATTTCATTAAAATATTTTTTTTATCTATATTTTTAAAATTTTATTTCTTTTCTTTTCTATTTTATTCAAAAAATACTTTTATTTTTTTTAAATCGAATTTCATCATATTGGTCGTTTACTTTTATAAATATTAAGTTTTAGTTGCAATTTTTTTAAATAATCAATTAATTTCGTATTTAACTAATTCAATTCTCGTACAACTTTTTGATAAGAAGTGATGTCATAAGGAATTTCAGTTCAAATTTTAGAAAATATTTTAAGAATTGAAGGAATTGCAGTTCTAATTTTTAGAAATAATTCTTAGGTAGATTTCAAAAGGTTTTATACTGAAAGTATTTTGAAATTTTAATTCTTAGTGGATAAATAAATAGCAATAGGCATTGAAATATTTATTAAACAAAAAAATTTATGAAATTTAAAAAATTTTATTTAGAAAATCTGAAAAAATGAGTCTTTTACAAAATTGTAATTAAAATTTTTTGAAAATAGTTAATTTCCCGAAAAAAATTTGAAAAATAGGAAATTTTCTCAAATTTTATTAAAATAAATTTTATTTTTTCACTTTAAAAAAATATTTTAAAATAATACTGTATTTTCTGAAGAATTGTAACTAAAAATTTGGAAAATTCAAAAAAATAAAAAAAATTTACAAAAATTATGGAATTTTTGAATAATTTAATGTAGAAACTCTAAAAAAATTAGTTTTAAAAAATTGCATTTAAAATTTTTTTTTCGAGATAATTAAATTCCCGAAAAGAGTTTTAATAATTAAAACACTTAAAAGTTTTGTCAAATTTTCTTGAAATAAATATTATATTTAACTGAATGTTTAAGTAATTGTTCTCTTGTATAAAAATATATTTTAAATACTTACGTTAATATACTGGTCTCTAATGTGTGTGATATTTTTCGGGTCAGGCCAGTACGTGTACATATATTTAATCGCTTCATAAACACCCTGTGGATTTAACGTGTAATTATATTGCAGAACGAGTTCCCATATTTTTTGATCAAACATTTCTGGCGTTATGGTGAACTGATTTCTTGACAATGTAATATTTTTAGCTAAAAAAGAATAATTTAAACATAATTATTTTCAATTACATTCACTAACTTTACTTATTTACCTCTTTTTCAATTTTTGCTACTATACTTTTCATTTATAATTTTTAAAAACACATTTCAATTAACTGTAATAGTTTTATTTTTTCTATTCTTTTGCATTATTTTGAAAAATTTAATATTTTTTAAATTAAATTAAAATTAAATTAAAATTAAATTTAATAAAAAATAGTTTAATAAGAAAAAAAAGAGAGTGATTATTTTATTCTTTGAAAAATTCGAATACTCACAAACAATGTAAGAAGCTTCTTGCGTTGTGACGCCGGCCATGTAAGCGATATCGTGTCTAAATCTATGAGCTTTAATACTGTCCTCGGGAGTTTCGATAAAGAAATGCCAATCGGCTGCTCGCCAATTTTCATACCAACTGTCACCAGGCACAGTGAAATTTGTATCTAAAACGGGAGCCCAGGGAAACATTCCCACCTGGGGTTTTATATTTGCTTTTCCAAAATCGAGAAATCCACGACTATCTTTTAAACATTGAACAAGTTTCCAGCTGCTTTCAATTCCACAGCCAACATGCTGTGCGAAAACTCTCGATGTATTTTGCGCTCTATATTTGTCCATTATCACTGCCCAATCCGATAATGCTGAACCCGACTGAGCAATTACTTTTGAAACCATATACTGCGTTCTGTAAATGATAAATTTATTATTATAATCTTTATTTCATTGGCCTTTTTTAAAAACTTTTTTAAAAATTAAATTTTAATAATATCCAATAAATAATAGAAAAAAAATAAATTTTTGCCTGAAATATATGACTAAACTAAATTAAACAAATAACTATAAACTTAAATACCAAAATTGTAAACTAAGATAAATATAAACTAAAAGAAGAATAAATAAATTTGTTCTAACCGAGGTGCCGCCATAAGAATTCCAGCGCTTGCAGCGCCTGCCCCTGGACCAAAAAGTGTTATTGCCTTCGGATCACCATTAAAATTGACAATATTTTCATAAACCCATCTCAACGCCATTGCCTGATCGAAAATTCCATAATTTCCGGGACTGTTTTCATCTCCCGTACAGAGAAATCCTGAAAAATTGTATAATATAAAAAAATTATTTAATTCATAAAATTTAAACTGAAGCAAAAAAGCAGAAAAAACTAAAATCAAAAATTTTATTTCTAATTAAATAAAAAAGAAGTAGAAACAAAATTGCCTAAAGAAGCAAATAAAATAAAAAATTAATATTCCAAACATCTATAAAATGTTTGTCTTTGGTTTAAAAAAAATTCTTAGACACAGGCATCACAGTACCTTTTTTCCTCAAAAAGGTGAAAAGGGGACTTTTTTTCCTCAAAAATGGTACAAAAAGGGGACAAAAATTTATTTGTTTATAAAACTTGTGTACATAGTTAAAATTATTTATCATACAGCTTCTATAAAATTTTTTTTTCCTGATTTCTAGCCAAATTTTGACTTTTTCCCTGACCTTAAAGAATATTCTGATTCACTCTAAAAATAATTAGATACTCATTATTTTGTACCTATACTATAAGAAATATTTTTACTGTAACTTCTTTAAAATTATTTTCATTATTTCAATTCAATTATTATTTTCTAGAATAATAGAATAGAATAATAATTTTTAAAAAAATTTTGAGAATTGAATTTCTGCGAAGAATTTTATTATTTTTGAAAATTTGAAAATACATATGAAAATATGAAAATAATTGTAAACGCAAATCTTTTAAAATTCAATTAATTTTGGAATATTTAAGTAAAATTATTCATTAAATAATTTCTAAGTAATAATTTTATGATAGTTCTTCAAGAATTAAGTTATTTAAAAAGAAATTATTATCAGAAATGGAAAAAATTGAAGGTTTCGTATTAGAATTTTTGTTTTTCTAGAGAAAACTATTAATAATAATATTTTAATTATTTGAATGTTAATTAATTATTTTTCCTTATTTTTTGATTAGAAAAAGGTGAAAAAGGGTACAAATCACCAAAAAAGGGGAAAAAGGTGACAAATCGTCAAAAAAGGTGAAAAAGGTGATAAAATTGAAATAAGGGGACAAAAGGGGACCAACTGTGATGCCTGTAAGACATAATAAAAGTCAAATAATGATAATAGTCAAACGTTATTAAAAAAAGTAAGTATTTGATAAAATATTTTTGTACCTAAAACACCGAGTCGATAATTTATCGTAACGACGACAACGTCATAAAAAGCAGCCAACATGTGACCTGGAAACGAATTGCTAGCTCCATGAACAAATTCCCCGCCATGAATATAAAACATTACCGGGTACTTTCTTGCTAAACCGGAGCCAATCTGAAAATGAAAAAAAAAGCTCGTCAATCTTTTGATGTGTACATTATTTTCTTTCTCAAAAAAAGAAAAAAAATAATCAAACAAAAAGAAAGCTTACATTAGGACTATAAATGTTGAGGTACAAACAGTCTTCATCGACTGCTCGAATACCATTCGAAATTCCCGTATATTCCTCAGGTTGAGGGCACGCTGGTCCCCAATCAACGGCTTGTAAAAGTTGCCATCCTCTATTAAATCGAAAATTTGTCCATTAAATTACAAAAACCGTGAGCAATTAAGAAATAAATAACTTAAATTACTTTTTCTTCCATATATTAATAATAACTAGCATTTCGTGAAATTTGACTGCCCATTGCTAACTGCAAAACAATTCTTTTACAAAATTTAACAAAAATATATTATTCTTTAGAAAATATAATCTTTCGAAATATAATTCGTAAAAAATACGACTATACTTCAAAACTAAATTAAAACAATTTTTAAAAGTAATAGAATTAAATTAGTTCAAATATAAAATTTATTTCAATGAAATTTAACAAAACTTTTAATTGTTTCAATTTTTAAAATTATTTTTGGGAATTCAATTATCTTAAAAAAAAATTTAAAGTAAAATTTTTCAAAAACCTAATTTTTTTTTAGAATTTCATCATTAAATTTTTATTCAAAAATTCAATAATTTTTGTTAAACAAATATTTAAAAACTTGTTATTTATTTTAAATAAAAATTCAAATAATTTCAAAACCTTTTGACATTTCATTCGTTCTAAAAATTACAACTGCAATTTTTCCAAAAGTCAATTATTATTATACTTCTACGACGATTAAGTGTTAAAAAAGTTTCAATTTAAAAACCTCTTAAAATTTAATTATTTCTTAAAATTATTAAAATTCTATAACATTTCTAATATTCAATAATTTTTTTTAAAATTGTAACTAAACTTATCTTTCTAAATCAATTCTTATCAGAATTTAATAATAATTGAATTATTTAAATACAACATTTTTCTAAATTTTTAATTTAATTATTTTCCAAATTTTAAGTTACAGTTCTTCAAAAAATACAATAATATTCAAAAATAGTTTTTTAAAGTGAGAAAATAAAATTTATTTTAATGAAATATGAAAAAGTTTTGATTACGATTTTTTAAAAATCTCATTTTTTCAGAATTTCTAAATAAAAGTTTTTAAATTTCAATTTAATTTTTGTTTATTAAATAATTGAATACTCATTGTTATTTATTTGTCCACCCGGAATTAAAATTTTGAGAAAATTTCCTATTTTTTTAAATTATTTTCAGGAATTCAACTATCTAAAAAAAAATTTAATTACGGTTTTTTAGAAATCTCATTTTTCAATAGGGTCAAAATAAGTGAAACCGGCCACTTGAAAAATTTTTATCTCCAATTTTCAAGTTATCTATGATTTTTAGTAGATATATGAGTACACTTTTTCCCCCTAAAACATTTTTCAAAAAAAAAATTTTATTTTTGAAGTAATTAGGTATTGAAGTTTTAGGTCATTTTATTTTCATTTTATTATCACTTTGAAACAAATAAAGATAATTAAGTAATTTTTTTTTTAAATTAAAGCTTAAAGTCTATACTTTAAAGATGAAATAAAGCGATTGCTAAAAAATGAAAATTTATAATTGTTATTAACAATTCTTTTAAACAATTGCAAATTGAAGAATGTTCTCAATGTTTTTGAAAGATTAAATTACGATATATTGATGCGCAAAACTATAAGGATTCATTTAAAAAAAAGAAAAATGAGTAACTTCCAATATTATAGAAATTATGTAAATTTTGCTGACAAAATGCAAGCAAAAATTGACTTAAGTTCCTGGAAAAAGATAAAATTGCAAACGAATAAATAAGATCTTCTTTTGTTTTGTTAGAAACTTCACGCTTTCAAGCGGATTTTTAAGATTAAAAATCGATTTTGGCCTGCATTTTGGCAGAAAAATCTACACAATTTCTATAATATTGGAGGTTACTCATTTTTCTTTTTTTTAAATGAATCCTTATAGTTTTGCGCATCAATATATCGTAATTTAATCTTTCAAAAACATTGAGAACATTCTTCAATTTGCAATTGTTTAAAAGAATTGTTAATAACAATTATAAATTTTCATTTTTTAGCAATCGCTTTATTTCATCTTTAAAGTATAGACTTTAAGCTTTAATTTAAAAAAAAAATTACTTAATTATCTTTATTTGTTTCAAAGTAATAATAAAATGAAAATAAAATGACCTAAAACTTCAATACCTAATTACTTCAAAAATAAAATTTTTTTTTGAAAAATATTTTAGGGGGAAAAAGTGTACTCATATATCTACTAAAAATCATAGATAACTTGAAAATTGGAGATAAAAATTTTTCAAGTGGCCGGTTTCACTTATTTTGACCCAATAGTATTTTTAAAACAAATATTATTTAATCATTGTTATTTTTCCATATGATTTAAAGTTTTCAAAAATATCAAATTTAAACCTTTTTGAAATTCAACAACTTATAATAATTAATAAAGATGATTGAGTTATAAAATCATTATTTTATATTATAAAAAATATTGATAGTGTAACTTCTTTAAAATTGTTTTCATCATTTTAATTCAATTATTATATTCTAGAATTTTGAACTAAAATTCTTCTATAAAATCAATTATTTTTAATTATATTTGAAAAATTATTTTGAGAATTTCCAAATTTATTTGATTATAATTTAATATTTTAAGAAATTTCGATTATTCAGAAATTCTTCAATTAAATATATATTATAAAATAAAAACTTCAAATAATTTCAAAAGAAATTCAATTAAACTTTTTTTAAAAAAATTAATTCTTCAGAATTGTTAGTTAAAAGTATGAAAAATTCAGACTTTCAAAGATTTTAATGCGAAACCCTTTCAACATTCAATTATTTCTAAAAATTCATGCTATAATGCATTTAATATTCAATTATCTAAAATTTTAATTGAAATTAATTTTTAAACCAATTTTTATTAGAAAATTCTACGAATTTAATTATTTAAATAAAAAAATAAATAATTTATTGAATAATTCAATGTTTCTTAAAATTGAATTCTCATAAAGATTTTTATCAACAAGTTTTTAAATAATTGAATTCTTTTGACTAATTTTAGTAAAACTTTAAGAATAATTACATTTTTCGAGAAATTCGATTAAAATTGTATTAAAAATAATTGAAATTCTGCGATGAGTTTTATTATTTATGAAAATAAATGAAATCCTAAAAAGAATTTTATTGTTTATGAAAATAATTGGACCCATATAGAAAATTTGATTATTTGTATGAAAATAATTGAATTATTGTGAAGAAATTTATAAAAATTTTGTAAATATGTAAATTGAATTCCTGTGAAATTTTTATTATTTTTGAAAATAATTAATTGTTTGCGTAGAATTTTATAAAAATTTTTTTTAAATAATAGAATTTTTTGGAAAATGTTATTTTTATTTTTTCTGTAAAATCGTGAAATGTGCGCTCGACCCCTTTTGTCATGCCATCCAACAAATACATTTTTCAAAAATACGCACCGATGAGGTCTCGGGGGTTTAAATCTTCCCTCGCCAGTTGGAGGCAATGCATAGGGTATACCAAGGAAAACATTAACATCACGAGTGACTCTTTCAACAGTTTGACTCCATGGTCTATGTCTTGATTCAGGTGTGTCGTACAGATAAGTTTTGAATCCTTGAATTTGTCCATAATTCGTTTGAACAAATATATCACGATCTAAATTCTTCGAATCAGATCTTTCCTTTCCCTGAAGATCCGATCTCCAACCTGCCAAAACGCCCGGCAATGGAAATCGTGGCGTAGTGTCCTTTAAAGAGAAAAAAAATATTTACATTTTATAATTCACCATAAACATTAAATTCACATTAATAGTTTAGTTTCACCGTTCTAGTAATTTTTTTTTCAACAATTGTCAATGGAATACTTCTAGTTCACAATAAGCAAGGCTTAACGATAATTAAGTAATTATCGCATTGCATGAAGTCACTGTAGCAGTCAGTTTAAAATACTCATCATAGGAATAGAATTTTTTTGTTCATGATTACAAGGGAAATTCGTCATTATAGATTGTGGGATTTTAGTAAAGTAGGGAGAAATATTAATTTAATGCCAGAGAAAAAAAACTATCTTAATCGATTTAACAATTAAAAATTTTTACTTATTATTTATTCTTTAACTTATTTCCCCTATTTATTATTTTATTATTATTTTATTCAAAAACCACTTTTATTATTTTCTTTTAATGAAATTTCATCAAAATATTTCTTTTTATGTATTTCTTAAATTTTATTCCTTTTATTTTTTATTCTATTTTTATTTTTATTTTATTCAAAACACACTTTTATTATTCTTTTTTAATTAAATTTCATTAAAATATTTTATTTCTTATATTTTTTATTTCATTCAAAGTAAACAAAACTTTTATTAGAATTTCAATTCAAATTTCACAAAATTATTTCAAGAATTGAAAGAATTACAGTTTTAATTTTTAGAAATAATAAATAAATAAATAATTGAATTCCAAAAGGTTTTATATTAAAAGTATTTTGAAAATTTTTAATTCCTGGTGGACAAATAAATAACAATAAGTATTTAAATATTTGTTAAACAAAACTTAATGAAATTTGACAAATTTTATTTAGAAAATCTGAAAAAATTAGTTTTTTAAAAAATAGTAATTAAAATTCTTTGAAAATAGTTGAATTCCCGAAAATAATTTCCAAAAAATTGAAAAACATGGAAATTTTCTTAAATTTCATTAAAATAAATTTTACATTTCAAAGAATTATATTTTCTCACTTTAAAAAATTATTTTCAAATTTTATTGTATTTTTTGAAGAATTGTAAGTAAATATTTATAAAATAATGAAATTTTACAAAAAATGTTGTATTTAAATAATTCAATTATCGTTGAATTCTAATAAGAATTTATTTAAAAAAGAATTATAATTAAAACCTTGAAAAATAATTGAATATTACAAGCGTTATAACAGGAATTTTAAGGAATAATTAAATTTTTATCTCAAGGTTTTTAAAATTTTAAAAGGTTTTAAAATTTTTAATCTTTTGAACATTTTGATCGACGTAAAAATATAATAATATATAAATTATTATTTAAAAAAATTGACTTTTGTAAAAATTGCAGTTGTAATTTTTAGAACTAATTAAATTTCAAAAGTCTTTACATTGAAGTTATTTGAAAATTCACTTAAAATAAATATCAATAAGATTTTAAACATTTGTTTAACTAAAATTAAGGAATTTTTGAATAATTTAATTTAAGAATTCTAAAAAATTAGGTTTTTGAAAAATTGTAATTATACATTTTTTTTAAGATAATTGAATTTTAGAAAACAATATTAAAAGTTTTGTTAAATTTTATTGAAATAAATTTTATATTTGAAAGAATTTAACTTTATTACTTTTAAAAATTGTTTTGTCTTGTATTTTTGAAGCATTATAATATTTCAAAAAATTATATTTTTTGAAAAATAATAAATTTTGCGCCTAAATTTTTTTAAAAAAGAAAGTTTTTGTAACTAAGAATGGGCCTCAAAATTCCACGCGCGAGTATAGGTATTCTAGTATTAAGTAATTAAAATTTTTTAAAAATTTAAAAACTGTTGGATTCAGAGGTTAAGGTCGATATTGAAATACTACGGGATTGAGAATTAGACAATTTATTGGAGATCGATGTGAACGAGTTGGATAACAAGATTGTACTGAGCAAGAGTGGTAGAGCGTAGCTCTCGATCATGCGCGGTATAAATGCATAGACAGGGGCGTAGCTTGTGTAATTTTATTGTGTATATTTAATACTTCCCCTCAAGCAAGATCATGTCTTAAAGTCATTATTTAAAGTTTGTTCTATTTTGTTTTTCACTTCACATCACACTTTATTTTATTTATTCAAATTTTATATTGACATATATTTTTTTGTTCACGTATATAGTTTTCTTTTTTTTATAACTATTTACTTTAGGTTTTTTATTTGCGTTGAATTTAAACACTTATTGCCCTTTTATAAAGAACTCATTCCAAACTTAGACAAACACTTTTGATGTTTCGGGGCAGAAAGTCCTTTCGTAAAAACGTCTGCCATCATGTCATTCGTCGGAACGTAACTCACGGATATTTTGCCTTCCTTCAAAGCTTGTCTCACATAGTGATGGCGAATCTCGATGTGTTTGCTTCTCGAATGAAATATCGGGTTCATGGCCAATTTTTGTGCTCCTTGGTTGTCGTTGTATATCGGGATGGTGTTTTGATTTCCCATTCCAATTTCGACTAGAAATCTTAAGAGAGAGGCAGCTTCCTTCGCAGCTTCCGTCAGCCCCATGTATTCGGCTTCTGTGCTCGACTGTGCCACCGTACGCTGTTTCCTGGCTTCCCAGGTCACGGCACCTTTTGCCATTATGAAGACGAATCCGGTGTAGGATCTTCGGTCGACAGGACACCCTGCCCAATCTGAATCTACAAAGCCTTCGATTAATTTAGTACTCTTTTCATACCTTAATCCAAGTTTCGTCGAACCCCTCAGGTATCTCAAAATCCGCTTGGCAGCCATCCAGTGATCCTTGCCATTGGAGTTGTTAAATTGACTCAGGTGATTCACCGCGTAGGCTATGTCTGGTCTCGTTCCGATGGCGAGGTACATCAGGCACCCTATGAGCTCTCTGAAGGGGAAGATTTCGGTTCCTTCGGTTTCAGATTCGTCGATTTTCCTCAGCTTCAATCCTGGATCTAGTGGAGTGGATACTGGCCTTGAATTCTCCATTCCGAATCTCTTCAGCACGGTTTCGATATATCCTGATTGGGACATTTCCAAAAATCCATCACCTTGGTGGAATTCCATTCCTAAACAATTTTTAATTTTCCCCAGGTCCTTGGTTTCGAATTTTTGTCCAAAAGATTCCTTGAATTCCGATATGCAGGTGAGATCGTTTGACATTATAAAAAAGTCATCCACGTAAATTGCTACAATTAAAATGTTCTGATTAATTTTCTTGATGTAAACACAAACGTCAGCATCCAATGGTGTCAATCCTAGGATTCGTAGTTCAGCGTCGAGTCTTCTGTACCACTGTCGTCCAGCCTGCTTCAGACCGTAGATGGATTTTCTTAATAAACAAACTTGATTACCTTTGTGTATTTTCTCCAACATTATTCGGGCTGTTCCTGCAGCATCTTCTCGACTTGATCGCAATTTTTCCTTTCTGATGATCACGGGTAGCATCTCTTCCAGCAGTCTTGGCACTTCCATGTAGACGTTCTCCTCCAGGTGACCATTCAGAAACGCTGTGGTAACGTCCAATTGATGTATGACTAGGTCATGTTCAACAGCAAGAGCCATCAATATTCTCACTGATCCAAGTCTGACCACTGGGGCAAACGTTTCATTGAAATCGATTCCGGGACGTTGGGAGTAACCTTGACCTACAAGGCGAGCTTTACGTTTTTCCAGATTACCTTCAGCGTTAAATTTGTTTCTAAGCACGAGTCTGTTGCCGACGGTGGAGCAGTTGTCAGGACGATTCACTAGATCCCAGGTGCGATTCTTGATCAAAGATTCGAACTCTTCTTGAATAGCACAATTCCAGTCGTCAGCGTCACTACCACTTAAGGCATCCTTCATTGAAATTTCCTCGGCTATATTTACAAATTCAGGATAATTTTCCGATGATCCCTCGATATGGAAAGTTCTGTGTACTTTTCTCGGTCGACCTCGAAGTCCAGTTCTGACAAGGCGTGGTCTTCCAGGTAATCGTCTCTCTCCTTCGATTGGTACGTATTCCTCGATGTGTTCCTCTTGTGGAAATTCGAATCCAAGAAAATACTCGTCGTCGTCGTCGTCGGAATTATCAATATCACGAGGGTTCACGATGTCGTCTGCTCTCGACTTTGTTGCTGAATATTCAATCTCTACCCAGTTCTTTGCTTTGATGGGATCTTCATCTTCTTTTGTTTCCAGAGATTTTATCGAGATGAAATCGTCGAACTTTTGTTTTGGAAGAAATTCATTCATTAACTTAATGTCCCTTGAAATTTCGATTTTCTTTTCTTCGCTTAGCCAAACTCTGTATCCCTTCGTTTCAGTCGAGTAGCCAAGAAAAATGCATTTACGAGCTCGAGGTTGCAGTTTTCCTTTCCCAGGTGATTTGTCCAGTGCATATCCTTTGCACCCGAAGGTTTTCAAGTGAGATAAATCGAGGCGCGTTCCTGTCAACAATTCCAGGGGGATTTTTCCATTCAGGCTTCTGGAGGGACATCTGTTTCTTATATGATTAGCTGTGGATACAGCTTCCGCCCAGAATGCTGGTGGCAAATTCGAGTCGATTAGGAAGCATCTCGCCATTTCGATAAGGGTTCGATTTCGTCGTTCAGCTACCCCGTTTTGTTGTGGAGTATGAGGCACTGTATATCTTCTCGAAATTCCGCATTCGTCCAGGTAATGATCCATTTCCGCGTTTCGATATTCCCTGCCATTGTCCGATTGTAGACATTTTATTTTCTTCCCGGTTTTATTCTCGATCATGGACTTATAACTTTTGAATGCTTCTAGAAGATCACTTTTTCTTTTTAGAAACTTCACATCACAAATTCGAGTGGAATCCTCGATAAAAGTCACAAAATACTTGGCCTTGCCTATGGATTCCGTACGCATAGGCCCGCATAAATCCGTATGCATTAATTCGAGTAGGTTTGTTTCACGTGATGAACTTTTCGGAAAGGGTTTCTGTGTGAGTTTTCCTAGGGCACATGTTTCACAAAAACCGAGTTTCTCACTATCACTGATTTTGATGCCTTGATTTTTCATCACACTTTTCACGTCTCTTTCGTTAAGATGGCCTAATCTGTGATGCCACAATTTTAATTTCTGATCACTGTCACTTTCGGGTAAAACAACACTCGCGAGTTCCGAAGGTTCGTTCAGGTAATATAGTCCGTCGATTCGTTGGGCAAACAATTTTTCCGAACCATTTTTGTCACTAATCACAGCTGAATTTCTTCTAAAAGTCACTTCGTAACCATTGTCCGTAATTTTTCCCACGGATATCAGGTTGGTTCTTAGATCGGGAACTAGGAGGGTATTGTCCAAGTTAAGAGTTTTCCTTTTGTTGTTATCGTTCACTGATATCTTCACTGTACCTTTGGCCTCTACTGTTGTTGTTGCACTATTGGCCAAATTCAGTTTGTCGGTTATGCACTTTTCACTGTTGATGAATTTCTCTTCCTCATAACACATGTGAGAAGTGCATCCGCTGTCAAGACACCACTTTGTTCCGGATCTGATTCCTTCTGTTTTCAATGCGGATTCTGAGTTCGACGTTATCAGAAATCCCATCTCTTCTGCTTTGCTCGCGTTCTCGGTTTTCTTGTTTACTTTTGAGTGACAGTCGATCGCCTTGTGACCCGGTTTCCTACATTTGTGACACTTGTATGGAAAAGGTTTGGGATCTTCTTTATCGACATTCGGTTTCTTTCCTTTCCATCCTTGCTTTTTAAAGTGACCGCGGTTGGCGCTGCTCGCCAACATGGCTTCCGCTGAATTCTCTCGTTCACGATGCGAAGATTTTCTGGCGTCACTCTCTTCAATAATTTTTATTTTCAGAGATTCCGGCTTGGGTAGATCGTCGCGCGTTTCAATAGCGCAACGAAAGTTCTCGTAGCTAGGAGGAAGGCTATATAACAGCATGATGGTTAACAAGTCCTCGTTAATTTCTACCTCCATCTCCTGAAGTTTGTCAACGGCGTCAAAGAAATTTCGAATGTGCTCGCGCACGCATTCCTTTTCGGCCATTTTGTGAAGCATCAACTGTTTAAGCAATGTGGCTTTTCGAGCGGGTCCTTTGCTTTGGTATATGCTGTGCAGTTTTTCCCATACATCGTTTGCGGTGTCACACACTTTAATTTGCTTCAGCTCGGATGGGCTGATAGCTAGAATTAAATCCGAGTGTGCTTTCATGTCCGCAGCGTCCCAAGCACGTGCGGCCACCGCCGACGCTTCGTTTCCTTCTACGATTTCCGGTTTCTTTTTTGTTCCATTTACGTACTCCCAAGTGTCGTTTTTCACGAGCAGTGCTCGTACTTGGAGTTTCCATGTATCGAAATTGTCCTTCCCTAGCGCTTCGATACGTACCGAGTGCGTGGAGCTCATGATTCCGAATTTCACACAGAGTCACGCTTCCCCTCGAACGAAAAACTACCGTATTTTCCGCGAATTATTTTACTTTCGATTATGTTAATAGTACGCGTTATTCTGGGCCCATAACCTGTTGGATTCAGAGGTTAAGGTCGATATTGAAATACTACGGGATTGAGAATTAGACAATTTATTGGAGATCGATGTGAACGAGTTGGATAACAAGATTGTACTGAGCAAGAGTGGTAGAGCGTAGCTCTCGATCATGCGCGGTATAAATGCATAGACAGGGGCGTAGCTTGTGTAATTTTATTGTGTATATTTAATAAAAACTAAAAATTAGGTAATTTAATTATTAAAACTCAGAAAGTAAAGAAAGAATTATTTTGTATTGACATTAAAATACTACAATGAAAAATAAATATAAATTAAATTTTCAACAAAATTGTACAATAAAATTATAGGTAACATTAAAAAAAATTAAATTCTTTTAAAGAATTTCTTTAAATTTTTTTTAAACTAATTGATTTTTTTTTTAATAATTTTAATTGAAAATTTTGAAAGCAATTGAATTTTATTAAAATTGTATTGAAAATAATTGAATTCTTGCGAAGAATTTTACTATTTATAAAAATAATTGAAATGTTTCGAAGAATTTTATAAAAATATTCAAAAATAATGAAATTTTTTCGAGAAATTAAATTAAAGTTGTTTCGAAAATAATTGAATAAATTTCTTTATAGAATTTTATTATTTTTTGAAAATAATAGAATTCTTTCAATTTTTTTGACGAATATATTGAAAAATTGCATTGAAAGTAATTTAATTTTCACATAGAATTCTTTAAAAATGTTTTGAGAATAATTGAATTATTTTTAGAGAATTTAAAAAATGTTGTTGAAATTGAATTTTATGGAAATTTTTGAAAATAATTAAATTTTTTCGTGTAATTTTATTTCAATTGGATTAAAAATAATTTAATTCCTGCAAAGAATTTTAGTATCAATAAAAATAGTTGAATTGTTTCTAAGAATTTATTAAAATTTTAGGAAATAATTGAATTTTATGAAAATATTTAAAAATATTTGAATTCATCCGAGAAATTCAATTAAAATTGGTTTGAAAATAATTGAATTCCTGCAAAGAATTTAATATTTATAAACTTAATTGAATTCTTGAGAAGAATTTAACTATTTATAAAAATAATTGAATTTTTTCGAAATGTGTTAAACATTTTTTAAAAAAATAAATTCTTCCGAGGAATTCAATTAAAATTGTTTTGAAAATAATTGAGTTTTTGTAAATATTTTACTGTTTAAAAAAATAATTGAATTCTTTCTTGAAATTTTATTAAAATTTTTGAAAATACGTACAGTAATAATTAATTGTGTACTTAATAAGTGAATTTTTGAAATTTTGATTATGAAATTATTTAAAAAATTTATATTTGGAAATAAAAATTAATTATTTATTAATTGTTGACGAGTAGAAAAAATATTCCCAAGATAAAAAGTTTTCATATTTAAAATTTTTTAAAGTATAAAGTTAGTTAGATTTTTATTTTTTATATTTTTCTATAAAAAATAGAAAAATAATACAAAAAATAAAAATCTAAAGAACAAATTTGGAAAAAACTCTTAAATAGAAGAATAAAAATTAGTTTTCTCTGTCCGGAATTTAAAACCCGTCTCATCAGAGGCATTATCAAGCAATTATGCAAGCCCTTTGAAAATCTAGGGCAAACAAACGAAGAGGCAGTCAACAAAGAAGCACTTGTCAAAAATTCCTCCACTCTCGTTTAATTATATCACTGAATTTCTAGACAAAACTAATGCACATTTAAATTAAAATTAAAACACTACTCACTCCAGCTTTATAACGATCTTCAGGTAGACGTTGATTTCCCTGATAATAAGGATTTTGAAAATCAGGTTGAATTGGATATCGTCTGTCCTTATAAATGTAGGTTTGATAATCGGGAATATTTTTCGATGGAACATAGACGCCCTCACGATTATAATATCCACCGCTTTGGGGATCACGATAACGGGGAAATTGATATTGTTGATAAGTGTCCTGTTGTGCGTAAACAATCGTCGTCACCATGAAATAAAGAGAAAAAACAATGTGCCCCGTCAAGGCGTGTTCCTGACGAGCAGCCATCTTGCTGCCGCGGTGCGGTCACAACACCGCTGAGCTATCTCCTCGCCGCGAGTCATCCACAAGTATACTGTATACTGTATACTCACTCGCACTTATTGAAAGTCCAAGAACCACCTTCGAACGAAAGGGAAAGGCATTTTGTTGTATAAAAGTCAAACAAGTAAAAGTTACACACGCCGCTGCAACACGTAATCAGGGCCAACTTTAAAAAAGCTTGTACACGTTTCACTGCGAGTTTTGCTGCAACAAAGAAAAAAATAAATTCAACTAATATTCATTTTTCAAAAATATTCTACCGATTCTATATTTTTTATTTATAATAATTTCAAAGATTTAAAATAATTAATTTACAATTTTCCTAAAAAAAGGTAATAATTTTGAAACGAATTTTACCGTTTCGAACAAGTGGAAATAAAAAAAAATGTGCTAAAAGTTCCTTGTCCTTATCATCACATAAAACTGATATTATAAGCAATTTATGAAGCTTTCTCGAGTATAACACTTATTAAATACTCATTAGTCACTCCAGATACATCAATTTCGACGTATAAATGAGTAATGCACTTGTGAATCACATTCTTGTTACGTATAAAATGAAGAAGGCACTGTATGTTTTATTGTTATTTTATTGACAAACGTCGTTGTAAACTTTGTAAACAAAAGTCTGTGAGACTATTTTTTATAGGTTATGTTATCAGGGTTGTTTTGAAATTTTGACAGATGACAGTTCTCGACTCTTACAAAGAGGGGAAGTTTTCAAGAGGGCGCGGCGGCGGAAATGTCAAATATTTAGGTCACTGTCCTATTTGAATTGAACCAATAATAATGTCACTATTACAAGGAAATGTAACGAGAGATATGATTGGCCGTCCACGCCTATATTTAATGAATGAATGAGCGTACGTCGTAGAGTAGTATAGTAAAGAAAAATAGTACACGCACACTTTCAAAATATTATTGTTAATGAATTTCCTTGTTTGATTGAAAATCTTAAAAATACACGAGAAAAGAAGTAGGTAATTAAAAGGCACATTTTTAACAGCAAATCTCATTGATTCTTTCGATTCTTTAAAAGAAGAGAAAGAAGACTGAATATAACAGTAATTTTGATCAATATAATAATAACAATACAAAGGTGATAATAAATGCGAAGTATAATAATAATAATAATGATAATAATACAAAGTTGATAAAAATGAATACGAAATAATTAATAATAAATTGATAGTAAATCGTAAATGAAAAAAGCAGGTAATTTTTTAATTAATTATTAAGATTAAAACTATTTTATTTACTACGGGAGAAAATCAACCTCAAAACTGCATTACCGACAGGGGTAATAGACAAGCAACCCTTCATACACCGTTGTATGTTTAGAGAAACTTTGCTTTTTTTGTACATAAAAATGAAATGCAATAAAACTAAAAATAAATAACAATATATTAAAGAAATGTTACTATTTATTAAAATAATTGAAATCTTGGTATTTAATTTAATTAAAATTGTATAATTCTCATAAAGAATATTCTAATCAAAATTTTTCAAAATAATTTAATTTTTGAGAAGAATTTTATTATTTAGGAAAAAATTACATTTTTTCAAAATATTAAATTAATTTTTCTTCTTATAAAGAAATTTACTGAAATTTTTCAAAATAATAAAATTTTTGTGAGAAATGTTAATAAAATTCTTTAAAATAATTAAATTCCTACAAAGAATTTTAGTAATTATGAAAATAATTCAATTCTCATAAAGAATCTTATCAAAAATTTTTAAATTAATTAAATTTCTGAGAAGAATTCTATGAAAATAATTAAAATCTTGCTAAAAATTATATTAAAAATTTTCGAAAATAATTGTCGTTTTGCAAGGAATTTAATTAAAATTGTTTCGAAAAATATTTCAATTCTCATAAAAAATTTTTATCAAAATGTTTTACAATATAATTGAATTTTTGCGAAGAATTTTATTAAAGTTTTAAAAATAATAATTACTTTTAAAACTTTGATAAAATTTAAAGCAAAAAATCAATTATTGTGAAAAATTTTCATTAAATTGTGTTTGAAAAAATTTTCAAAAACAATTTCAATTATTTTCAAAAATTTGGTAAATTCTACGCAAAAATTCAATTATTGTGAGAAATAGTGATTAAATTGTATTAAAAAATATTTTCAAAAACAATTTCAATTATTTTCAAAAATTTGATAAAATTCTTTGCAAAAATTCAATTATTGTGAAAAATTGTGATTAAATTGTATCAGAAAATATTTTGATTTTAAAATTTCATGAAATTCTACGCAAAAATTCAATTATTGTGAAAAATAGTGATTAAATTGTATTAAAAAATATTTTCAAAAACAATTTCAATTATTTTCAAAAATTTGATAAAATTCTTTGCAAAAATTCAATTATTGTGAAAAATTGTGATTAAATTGTATCAGAAAATATTTTGATTTTAAAATTTCATGAAATTCTATACGCAAAAATTCAATTATTGTAAAAAATAGTGATTAAATTGTATTAAAAAATATTTTCAAAAACAATTTCAATTATTTTCAAAAATTTGATAAAATTCTTTGCAAAAATTCAATTATTGTGAAAAATTGTGATTAAATTGTATCAGAAAATATTTTGATTTTAAAATTTCATGAAATTCTACGCAAAAATTCAATTATTGTGAAAAATAGTGATTAAATTGTATTAAAAAATATTTTCAAAAACAATTTTAATTATTTTCAAAAATTTGGTAAAATTCTTTGCAAAAATTCAATTATTGTGAAGAATTGTTATTAAATTGTATCAGAAAATATTTTGAAATACAATTTCAATTATTTTTTAAAATTTCATGAAATTCATCGCAAAAATTCAATTATTGTGAAAAATTTTGATTAAATTGTATTTAAAAATATTTTCAAATTACAATTTCAATTATTTTTAAAAAATTGATAAAATTCTTCGCAAAAATTAAATTATTGTGAAAAATTTTGATTAAATTTTTTATGAGAATTGAAATATTTTCAATACAATAATTTCAATGTAATTCCTCGAGAAACGAGGAAAACAATAAATAATTATAACTAATTAATAAAATTGTTAATAATTGAATTTTTTTAAATTTTGAATCGAAAACTATTCGAAAATTGAAATTAAAATTTGAAAATAGAAAATTTTTTTAATTTGCAAAATAATAATAAATAAGTAATAAACTTATGAAAATGAGTAAATTGTAGTTAAACAAATTTTGTAAGAATGTAAATAACAATTAAATAAAAATATTACAAATACAAACAAAAAAAGTAAATAAAATAAAATTGTAGAAAAAGGGCAATATATAAATCAAATTAAGTATGCAAAATCGTTAATATATAAATACAAAGAAAGCAAGAAAGAATAAATACAAAAAAAATTCCCGTATTTTCATTTTTGAAAATTTAAATTAGGAACCCCCGCGTCTTTTTGATAATTTGAATTTAAATCATCAAAATAAAAGTAAAATACCTTTTTCTTTGAATGAGAAAATGAGCATACAATTTGAATAATTAAGTATATTAGCGTAAATAATAATATTAAAGAAAAAAAGAATAAAAGAAAGAAAGAAGATAATATTCAAAATTAAATGACAATGCATATACAATTTTATTGAAGCTTTTGAATCGACGAGTGAATTATTTTTTCCACATGTTGGTTCATGCATAATCAACAACAGCATCAGAAAAAGGTTTCATTATACTCGAGTCTTTATCTTAACAGCTTTACATACTCGTGTACATATACATATAACATCCTCTTAAAATCGTCACGCTTCAAACATCAGGGTCCTCTGGGGTCACTTTCTCAGAATCGGAGCCAAGTCAGTTGAATAAAAAATTACACACAGAAAAAAACGAATTTAAAAGAAAAAAAAATAAGTGAAAAATTCAAACACCCACGGAAAGTACATCAATTTATATGTATATTTAAGAAACTCAATTTTCCATATTTAGGAAGCATTTTGTATTTTCTTCTCTCTTTTTCAATGTAAGTAAAAACAATATAAAAATCAAAGAAATAGAGGAATAAAAATGTAAATAACAACAGTAACAATAAATTATACAAATTGTTCACTTTATAAAAGCCTTTAATAAATCATCTTAAATTAAGGTGAATTTAAAATAATTTATTTTCATTTCTTTTTCGGAGATAATTTTAAGTAACTATATACATAAAAAATGCAAAAGACAATCTGAGATAATTTTTAAGTAGCTAAAATGTGACAAAAAAGACAATTTACCCGCATTTATTTTTGTAATAATTTATTGAGAGAAGGAAAGAAATTTGTGTAAAAAAATAAAAAAATATAAAATTAAAAATAAAAAGACCAAATGAGAGAAACTACATGTAAATAACAAATAATAAATAAATAATAAAAGTGAATTTTAAATCAACCATAAATTATGTTTGAATTAAATATATTATTTTTATAAGTGAACCAAAAAATATGTTTGAATTAAACTTAAATTTGTTTGACTATATAGCAAAGATATTTTAAGTTTGATTTAAACAAACTTTGTTTGAATTAAATATAAATCGTTTTCTCAGTGAACAGATAATTTTTTGAGCCAAATTTTCTTCTATTTCTAAAAAAATTTTTGTTTAAAAATTCTAATTTCAATGGTTTAAAAATAGTTCAAATAATCGGTAATTCAGAATTTCCAAATTAACTTGTTTATAATTCAATTTTACAAAATTTCGATTATTCAGAAATTCTTCAATTAAATATTATAGGGTCAAACCTGCTCAACTGTGTTAACACAATTTCATTGATTTTCTAAAATGTTAAAACTTTTATGAATTAATGAATTAATGAAACTTACACTGATTACACAAAATTGTTCATTCTTTTAAAAGAAAATAATTGAGTACCTGAAAAGAATTTTATTATTTATAGAAATAATTGAATCCCTTTAAAAAAATTTACTATTTATGAAAATAATGAAATTATTGCGAAGAAATTTATAAAAAATTCGTAAATAATTGGATTCCTGTGAAAATTTTGTTATTTGTGAAAATAATTAAATTTTTGCATATAGAATTTTATCAAAAAAATTTTTTTTAATAATCGAATTCTTTTAGAGAATTTTGTTGAAATAGTATGTAGATACATATTTGAAATTCATTGAATTGAGGAAAATTTTTGAAAATAATTGAATTTCGGAGAACAATTTCATTATTTTATTACTTTTTTAAAATAATTGAATTTCTGCAATCATATTTTGTAACTTCTCAAAAATTCAATTTTTTAGGGTTTTTAACTAAAATTCTTCTATAAATCCGTTATTTTTAATGATTAATTAAATATATTTATATATTAAAAAATTTAACTAATTTCAGAAAAATTTGAATTATTTATTAAAAAAATATCAAAAATCTAAGTTCTTTAAAATTTCTTATCAAATTCATTCAAAATAATTGAAATTTTATAAAATTTCAAATTGAAACCTTTTGAAGTTCATTGATTTATAAAAATTGTAAACGCATCTCTTTTAAAATTCAATTAATTTTGAAACATTTAAATAAAATTTTTCAATAAATAATTTCTAAGTAATAATTTTATGATATAGTATTTGAAGAATTAAATTATTTAAATAAAGAAATTATTGTCAGAAATAGAAGAAATTGAAGGTTTTGTACATATTAGATTTCGTGATAATTTCACAGTTTATGAGGCAAACAAAAAAGACACCAAACTTCAGAATTTTCTTAAGAATTCTCAAAAAATTTTTTTCAGTACTTTTAGTAAAAATCCCTGACTTTTCCCTGATTTCCAATTTTCTATATAAAGAAAACTAAAAGAACTAACAAGTATAAGAAAAATATGTTAAACTGTATTTATTCTTTCAAAGTCATTAAACTCCCATCAAACTTATCAATTCGATTCGATATCTCTGCCTTTTTTCGGAAGTTATAATTTCAGAAAATTTTCATCTCGAGACAGATGCACCGAGAATATAAACGACCTATAGAGGGTGGGGGTGGATCGGTGGGGGTGCCATGCACTCCATCGAGGTCCACTTGTTTCGTGTTCGGATTTCATTCCCACTCGAGAGCGCGTTGCCGAACTGGCAACATCGACACACCTCGTTTCTTCAATTAGTATTTTTAAATAAATAAACAAACATTATTTATTTATAAATTAAAATACCACTAAATCATTAATTTATCAATAAAAAAAAAATTATTTCATTTTTTCAAGTGAAAAATTTGAATGAATTCTTTAAATTAATAGATTTCTTCTTTCATTTTTCTTGTCTTTTTTCCGTTACTTAATTTTTAAGAAACTTTTTCTATGAAAGAAATTCTTTTACAATAAAAGAAGAAAAATTGTGCAAAGTATCATAATCGAAATTAGTAAAATTTGTCAACGGAAAACGTGAGTGATCGGTAAAGAACTTTTTACGAATGATCAAAATTGGCAATTTTGGAAAAAAAATTTCTATAGTGAAGGGACAATAGTTGAATGTTATTTTTAATTAATTTTTTTTAAATTCGAATAAACGAATTATTTATTTGTAATAACAAGTTGAGAATTTTAAGTGATGTTCGTTGTTAAAAAAGACGTTGATAGTGAAGTGTGAGTAAAAGAAGAGAAAAATATTGTGAAGTGCAACATTTTTTGTTTTTGCTAAAGAAAAAGAAGAAGGAGAAGAATTTTTTTGCGAAAAAATGACGGAGCCGTTACCGAGGGATATGGATGCACACATTGTGACACTTTTAAGTAAAATTTCAGCTTTGAGGGATAATAATAATGAACTTGTGGTGCAAAGAAGACCGTCGATGTCGATTGAAGTGTGGAGTCTAGAACTTTGGAGGGCCGTTGCTGTCGAGTGTTTTGCAACTTTTCTCTTCAGTTTCGTGGTTTCCGGTGCAACAAACGCCTCAAATGTTTATGGCAGTGGATTATCTGTCCTGTCCACTGCTGTAGCCGCTGGGCTTGGCATTGCAGCCATAGCCCTTATTTTTGGGCCCATTAGTGGTGAGATTCTTTTATCCAAACATTTTTCCTCCAATCTGACTACTTTTGTTTTTTTTTAAACTTAAACTATTTTTTTCAATATTGTAATTTAGTGTTTTTATTTTTTATTTTAAATAAGATTTTTGTAATATAATCTCTAAATTTGAATTAGCAAAAATATTTAGGTACTGATTTAAATTACTGACTGACTTTTTGCTTTTGAATTAGTAATTTTTACTAATAAATTAGTACTTTAAGTATTTTAATTTTTTTTATATTTATTATATATTTAATTAATTATACATTAATTTTATATTTACTTAAAGTTTTATATTTTATTATTTTATTTTATTTAATTAAAATTAATTAGTATTGTAATTTACTAAGTATTAAATTTACTGATTCAAAAGCAAAAATTCAGAAAATAAATTAAATTAGTAAACATTTTTACTAATTCAAATTTAAAGAGTAGAAAATTAGTTCGTTAGTTAGCAAGATCACAGTTAGTCCCCTTTTTTACCTATTCCCCCAACCTTTTTTTAAAAAAAATTCTTTTTCTTCTAATTATCCCCTAAAATCATGCATTTTGACCCCTCCCCCCCTTTTTTTATAAAAAAACTTATAAAATAAAATTCATTAATTAATAGACAAAATATAAAATCTATTAACATAAATAAATAATAAATAAAATTAACTTAGATAAAAACTGTTTGTATTTGATATTAATAGGCATGAAATCATTAATTTGAATTAAATAAATTTTCTTTTCAACTGCAATAGTAGAATTTATTTACTTTTAGGGAATACTGAATAGTCCAAAATTGAGTGCAATTTCAGACAATTTTGATTTTATTGCAAAAATAGTAGAAATTATTTTACTTTCTTTGCATAGGAAAAGCGTCCCCCTCCCTCCTCACTGAGCGTAGTGTATGGTGGGAAACCGCTTCACTTTCCACTTTTGCTCGGCTATCTTTCTCCAGGAATTATTTAGTAAATTCTTCAGTAATTAAATTAAAATTAATCTAAAATATTTAATTGAAACAATGGAAGATTTCTGAATGACAATTAATGCAATGGAAAAAAAATTTTTAATTCAAATAACCGATTACTTGTCTATTATCAAACAAATATTTATTTGAGTCGAATGGAATAAATAAAGAACAAAGAATAAGAAAACAAGCATAACAATCTTGGAATTTTAAATTATCAAAATTGACTTTTAATTACCTATTATACCAAATTTCTTTTAATATGATTTTAATGTCCCTTCCTTTCTATAAATAATAAACTAGGAATTTAATTTTCCCTAAAAGAGGAAAGCATTGAAAGAAACTTGTTTAAATTTATTTCAGTAATTGAAATTGAAAAAAAAAGAGGAGAAAAACTAATTTTCTCCTTAGGGGGGCAATATACTGAGGTGCCTTGAATTTTCAATACAATTTAAAATTGTATTCTTTGAGACGAGATAGTGTTTAAGTAAGATAAGATCCTTCAAACGAGGATATATCGTATATATTTCTATTGTAGAATCGTTTGTGGTGAGCCCTCATGGTTTCTCCTCTCGATTGGCTCGTTAAGTGATCGTTACGTATTAAGTATATTTGTATGTACGTATATGACAATTTGAGCCGTTGGTTTTTTTGTTGTTGTTGTTACACTGTCTTTCACAGTATTCTCTTATTTGTCTATTTAAAACTGTTTCTCTCTTTTTCTCTTTCTCCTTTTTTCTTTCTTTCTCTCTCACTTTGACTCTATTTCTCTCTTTCTTTTTTTCTCTTTTTCTCTCCTTTCTGTCTTTCTCTCTGTACTTTTGATCCTATGAAATTTTAAATTAGTCTTCCGAGAGCTATCTAGAAATGCGTTTCAAACACTAATTGACTAAATTATTGTAGTAATTCGTAGTTATCCATTTTATTCTTTCCTTTCCCTTTTCACATGAAAAATATTTCCCGCATGTGTTTCTATTATTCATAATTATATTGTATTAACTAAATTTATAGACATGAAAAAAATTTATTTTAATCAAATATTTGATAAGGTACTTGACAACTTAAATTAAAATAAAATCTAAAATTAATTTATTTGATTCAAATAAACGATTATTTGCGTCTATTATCAAATATAAATATTTATTTAAATCTAATAATGTTTATTAATAAATCAATTAAATAGTATTTGCATTCAAATCACTAAAATTATTATTGAATTGCTATAGAAATACAATTTTTCTGTTTCAAAAAAAAAAATGATTTGAGTCAAATAAAAATTATTTGATTCGAGTAAATATTTATTTGATAATTGGCAAGTAATTCCTCATTTGAATGAAATAATTTTTTTTCAATGAAACCGCATTGAAATTTTTAAAAAGCTTATTATTGTGCAAAATGTGGATATTTGATTAAAAGAAAAAATTTTTTAATGAGTCTTTCTCTAATCAAATATCCATATTTGAAAAATAATAAACTTTATAAAAAATTTAACTCGGTAAAGATGTAGAGAACCTGTTTCTTAATAAATTAATTATTAATTACGAAATTGTAGCAATTTAAAACGTATTTCAAAAATAGCATTAATTTCCAGCAGCTAACAGGCAAATAAAAAATCAAAACTTGAAAAAATAACTTTTATTATCAAGTCAAATAAATTTTATTCGACCAAATAATTGTCTATATCCAAAACAAATATTATTTAATTTTTATAATGGAAAAAACTTTACCTGCATTGAAAAAAATATTTGATTCAAATATAATTGATTACTTGTTTAATTATAAAATAAATATTTACTTGAATCAAATAATTTTTATTTAAGCCAACTAAATGGTATGTCTTTCAAATACTGAAATTATATTGGTTCAAATACCATTTAATTAACTCAAACAAAAATTATTTGATCCAAATAAATATTTAATTAATAATAGTCAAGTTAATCAGTTATTTGAATCAAATAATTTTTTCAGTAATAAACAATATAATTTTTCCGTGATAGCATTAAATAAAAATTAAAAATTAATTAATTTCTTTTCTGAGATATATAAATAGAATCTATTCTTCTCTTTTATAGATATTTCCCTTTTTGTTAATTTATTATTTTATTTAAAAAATGAAATAATAATAAAATATTAATATACCTATTATTTTTAATTTTGATTTCATTTTTACTATTAAATTTTTTATGTTCGTTTTCGTTAATAAATAAAATATAAATAAATTTTTATTCAATTTTAATTATCCCTCCAATTATAATAATTATTTTCATACAACAAAATCCGTTATAACAATTTTCGAGATACAACAAAATCTTTCGGCGGTAATAATAATATTCGAGAATATATATAACAAATTTTGTTAATAATATTAATTTTCGAGAATCATATAACAAAATTTCGCGTAATGATTTTCGAGAATGTTGCATATACAAATTTAATGCAATTAGTTTGTTTCATAATAATGATTATGTGTTATATAGTATAATATAATAAATTACGTAATAAAAAAAACTGTATACAAGTATATTTATTAAAAAAATATTCAAGAAAATAAAAAGAAAAAAAAATACTCAATATTTATTTATTCCTCTTCTTTTTTGATTTAATAATAATTAATTAAATTTTAAAAAAGCAACAGGTTTCTTTAAAGTAAGTTTTTATTTATTATAGGGGGACATGTAAATCCTGCGGTATCCGTGTCCTTTGCTTTGGCCAACAGAATATCACCACTTCGAGCTGCCCTGTATATTGCAGCTCAATGTGGTGGCGGAATAGCAGGAGCTGCCATGATGTATGGGTAAGTAATTAAAAACAACATTTTTTCACAATCCCATTATAGAAATAGTTATCAAAATTTTTCCAAATTTAAAAAAATTATGAAAGTATTAACGATTTGTTTAGTTTTCTTTATAAAAATTATGTTAATCATAATTTTTATTTGCAATTCACGTGAATTATTGAAATTAAACGAAATTTAACTAAAAATAGTTCATTGTTGGTAATTATTATTAATTATAATTATTAATGAATTTTTTTGTTAAAACTGTTTTCTGTTTTTTGATTATTTTGTAACAAAAAGGGTTTAAATTTTTATTGAAAAATAATTAAAATAATTGATTAATAGGTATTACTACTATTCATTATTATTATTATTATTATTATTATTATTATTATTATATCTGTCTATTAAAAAAAAAGAAAAAAAATCTACTTATTTATTAGTATTATTTAATAAATAAAAATAATCGAATTATTAACATTTTTCTTTTCATTCTTATTATTGTTTATTAATTAACAATGTTTAATCAAAAATGTGATTTTAATAAAATTTATAAAAATTTAATTAATTTTATTTTTAAACCGGATTAATTATAATGATTAATTATACACGCGTTAATGCCATAAAAAATTGAATATTTATTACTTCCCGAACTCGACTGTTTGACAGTTTGAAAAAAGAACGATTCCCTTCTTCTTTTTTTTTGCAATTGATTTTTGGAATAATTAATAAAATGTTAAAAAGAAAACGAAATAAGGCACTGGTCATTTAAAAAGAGCAGCTGCGAGATATGGAATTTGAGAGTTGAGCTGAGGCATTTGGTCAAACTTTATATAAAAAAAAAAATGAAAAAAAGTCGAGTGCTTTTTTTCTTTACAAGCGCTTATTCGAACGTGCGACATAAACGCGAAAGCAGGTTTTTTGACGTTCTATACGCTGTATATTATATGTGTTCCTTATTATACTTTTCTTTCACTCTGACACTTAAAAATAAAAGTTGCTTCTCTCGAATTGTCCGAAATACCGAAAGTTGATCTGAATCTTCAGAAAAAAAAAATTAAAAAATTTCTTTGAATGGGGCCAATTTTTATTATTTAACTTTCTTTGTGAATGAGGAAAAAAAGAACCACGTTGATCAAAAATGCTAATTTTCTTTTATATACAAAAATTACGTTTTCAAAATGGAAGTCGACCAAATATTCAAGAGTATATTCAATATATAATGTGGTGTTAAATTTATATATTGAGAAAAAGAGTGTCAAGTTACCCTCGTGGGAAGATGGAATTTCTTTAATTTAGAAATAATTTTTTTAAATTTTATTCAATTCTAAATTAAAAGAAAAAAATTATGAAAGTTTTTCACTGAATTAATAACTTCCGCAGATAAAATAAATCTTTTATTCTAAATTAAATCTAATAAAATTTCTAAAAGAAAATAAAATTTAAAAAAAAGACAAAAAAAAATTTCTTTTATAAATTCAAACTATAAAAAGAAAAATAAAGCAAAATTTTGAATGGATTTAAAAAATGATTTGAGGTTTAAAATTGTAAATGTTTAATTCAAATATTGAATCTAATAAAATTTCCAGTATTTCAAGAAAAGAAACTTAAAGAAAAATTTAGAGAGAGATTTTTAATTCAAAATTGAAAAGGAAAAATTAAAAATAAAATGAATTTGTCCTACAAACCTAAATATTTGATAAAAAATAATAAAATTTACAAGAAAAAAAAACTTTTGAAAAAATAGAGACAAAAATTTGTTTAATTTAAAAATGAAAAAGAAATATAAAAAAAATAATCTGCGTGGCCTGATTTAAAGAATTTTCCCGACAAAAATATAAGTTCCTCTCCATCAAAACAATAAGAGTTTAATTTAAAATTGAATCTCATAAAACTTCTGGTATTTAAAAAACAGAAAAAAATTTAGAGCCAAAAGAATTTTTTTTATTTTAAAATTGAGAGCAAAAATTAAAAAATTTATCTTGATTCCCAATTTAATGAATTTTTCCCACAAACAAAAATATTTAGATTTCAAAATTTAACAGGTTTTCTTCGATTCAAAATTCAAATGTTTGATTTTTTAAATAAATCTCTATAAAAATAGTTTTTGATCAAAGACCATATTAAATATTGAATTAAAAAATTCTATCTTTAATAAAATTTATTTATGTGAAGAAAAGTAAACGAAAGAAAATAAATTAAGGGCCTTTTTTCACCTGAAACCCAAAAAAAAAAAGGTTTTATACTTTTCATTTTTGTGAAAAAAACTTTTGTGACGCTGAACGTCGACTCTAACTTCAGGAACCTAATTTTCGATTTTAAAATTAAAAAAATCTCGAGAAAAATATTTTTTTCTTTTAAACCACAAAAATAAAGACTGTATCCCCTAAAATTGGAACAAATCATGAAGAAATATGCCAAAAAAATGTGCCCAATCATCGCACATTATATTTTCACGCACTCAAAACATTTTTTTCCCCGTTTAAAACTGATTGCCTTAAATTACTATTTAAGGCAATCAGTTTCAAACAAGAAAAAAAATGTTCAAGACCTGTTTCATTTTCCTCGTTTCCCCAAAAAACCCATCGACATACACAAGACATATGCGCATAATTTTAAAAAGTTATTAGCAAAAATTACACTCCGCATCATTCCAAGAATTTATCTCCGAAAATTTCCGACACACCGATTAAGGATGATCTTCAAGATTTATTAAATACACGGCTCGTGTTATTTCCTGCGAGTGCACGTGCCTTTATAATTCCTTTAAGAAAAAAAAGAAAAAAAAGAAACACAGTTTTAAGATAGGTGGTTTTGAAGATGTGCCCATCAGGAGAGATAGAGAGAAAAGAAACAGGAGAGAAGATTTTTGATGCTGTAAAAGAACCTGAACTCTCAAAAAGAGTAACAAGGACGGAGTGAAATGGACTTAATATGTTAAAAGAAAAGAAGAAAAAAGAGGGAGGAGAGGGAGGATGGAAAGAAAGAGGCAGAAAGAGGCACGCGTAATTGGCAGGCGAGGGAGAGAGGCAGCCTGGAGCACCTGCCTTTCGAGTCCTGCGGCGGCCACCGCCTCGCAGCTGCCGCAGATGTTTCGTGGACCAAAAAAGATGGAGAGGAAAGGATCGTAAGACGAAGATAATAAATACCTATGCATGCGAGGTGGGACAAGTTTCACGAGGAGTAGATATCGTTCAACAAGGGCATCAAGAAGAAGAGTATAGACCAAAACTTGAACAGATGGTGAATCCTATACTCACTTGCTGTCTTTATCTCCTTTTTATTTTTTTTCCCTCTTTTTTTCTACATCCCTTCACTCTTTCTCTATATATATGCACCTTTTCGATTTTTATCAAAAGTTCACTTCGAAAATATGGTGCTGTGCGAGTTCGTTTTTACCGGATCTCTGATGCCTTATTTCACTCTCTAATCTGTATAAAATTAATTTTTAATTTCCATTTAGTCGAAAAGGTTAAATATCAAGTTTATAAATATCTAATCTACGTTATTTTAACAAAAGAATCGTATTTAATTGGCTTTTTCGAAAAAGAATTTTGTACTGTATGCGAGGTCTGGAAACATAGAGCAAGCGGAGGAGTGGGGATAATGAGAGCAAGAGAGAACAAACTAAACTTCTCTCTCACTCTCGTTGTTTCTTTCGGCGCAAGCGCGAGAGTGAGGGCAATGAGCGTGAGAGAGAAAAACTGCAATCTCTCTCTCACTCTCACTGTTCTTTCTCGGGCGCTTATCCTTCGCTTTTTCAGAGCTCGGATTGTGTGACTTTTTCGACTTTTTTGTAAAAAACTGTGATAAATCGACTTTTTCGAGTTTAAAAGTTTTTTAAAAATAAACGAAAAAAAAAGTTTATAAATTCTATTTTTCAATTAAAAATTTTAATTGAGAATGAAATTGAAACTTTTAAAATTTTTAGAAAATAAAGGAAAAAATTTTAGTCAAAAAAATGTTCTGTTACATTTATTTACAAATTTCGTTCAAATTTTTCGAAAACATCAAAAATTTCTTTTTTAAATAAATATTTAATTATAATTATTTTTACATAGGAATTAAGATTTTTTAAAACATGCAAATTCAAACCTTTTTGAAATTAAACAACTTATAAAAAATTGTTATAAAACATGAAGAAATCGATCACTCCGAGTCTTCGACTCGGAGCAATCCATATCTTCATGTTTTATAATAATTAAAGACTCGATTAAAGATGACCGAGTGATAAAATCTTAAAATCATTATTTTATATTATAAGACTTTATAAAAAAAAATTTTTAATTATTTTTTATGAAAATAATTGAATTATTGCGAAGAAATTTATAAAAAATTAGTAAATAATTGAATTCCTGTGAAATTTTTATTATTTATGAAAATAATTAAATGTTTGCGTACAATTTTATTAAATTTTTTTCAAATAATTGAATTTTAGAAATGAATTTTATTATTTATAAAGGTAATTGAAATTTTGAACAGATTTTAAAAAAAAAATTTTTAAACTAATTGAATTTTGCAGAAGAATTTTGATACTTATAAAGATAATTGAAATTTTGACAAAAATTTAAAAAAAATTTTGATAATAATTGAATTTCTGCGAAGAATTTTATTACTTTTGAAGATAATTGAATTTTGCAAAGAAGTTTATCAGAACTTTTGAAAATAATTAAATTTCCAGGATTAATTTTATTATTTACGAAGATAATTAAAATTGTGACGAGAAATTTAAACAATTTTTTTGAAAATAATTGAATTTCTGCAAAGAATTTTATTACTTTTAAAAATAATTGAATTTCTAGGATGAATTTTATTATTTATAAAGATAATTGAAATTTTTACAAGAATTTTATTTAAATTTTTTAAAATAATTGAATTTCTTTGAGAAGAATTTTATTACTTTGAAGATAATTGAATTTTGCAAAGAATTTTATCAGAACTTTTGAAAATAATTAAATTTCCAGGATTAATTTTATTATTTACGAAGATAATTAAAATTGTGACGAGAAATTTAAACA